CTTGTTAAAATGCTCATAAAAGGAAAAAGCAACAGTACTGGACAATTCCCACTCCAAATACGTGGTCACTGCTGGCTGTTTCTGTGTTGGGAGGGACCCTCAAATAGATAGGGATCATTGTCATTAAGATTAGCAAAGCCTGACTCGCAGCACAGAACCAGGCCGATTATGGAGAAAGAATAACACAATGTGAGAACATAGGATCTGCAGCTTTATCAGTGAAGGATTACATTAATAGCCACATTTTGCATTTGTCATAGTGTCTCTTCTTAATAACATTCAAGTACTTGCCTGTAACCCACTTAGCTCATCCTCAGAACAATGAGCCACAAGCAGGAGCCACGTTAAGGGCTTGCAGCTGGTAGTTTCTTCACGGTAGTTTTTCTTTCTTCTAGGCACTCTTCCTTTCTTCCTCCTGACCTCCCGCCTCTTAGCTGAGAAGAGGGTGGACTAGGGAAAAACAGGAATTGAGGTTTTTACAAAATACTCAGCTTCCATTGAAGAATATCCTGGGAATGTAGCAACATATTTGTAACTTGCCACAGTCCTGAGTGCTCTGGCCCTCTGGGGTGGGTGTGGGCTTGTGGAGCCATTGACACTCTCTGGATGTGGGCAGAATAAGGGTCTTTCCCTCTGGAAATTTGGCCTGCGGTGGCTTGGCAGTTGACTGCTCTATTCTATAGAAGATAAGAGACTGAATTCTTTTTTTTTTTAATTGCATTTTAGGCTTTGGGGTACATATGAAGAACGTGCAAGATTGTTGCATAGGTACACACATGGCCGTGTGATTTGCTGCCTTCCTCCCCTTCACCTATATCTGGCATTTCTCCCCATGTGCTATCTCTCCCCAACTCTCTACCTTCCGCTGTCCCTCCCCTATTTCCCCCCAACAGACCCCAGTGTGTGACATTCCCCTCCCCGTGTCCATGTGTTCTCATTGTTCAACACCCGCCTATGAGTGAGAACACGCGGTGGTTGATTTTCTGTTCTTGTGTCAGTTTGCTGAGAATGATGGTTTCCAGGTTCATCCATGTCCCTACAAAGGACACGAACTCTTGTTGGCTTGTTTCTACTGCAGGCCTGAAAGCAACTGGTGGCTGCAAAGCGGCACAGGTTGAATCATTGGCCTATGACTCCAACGGCAGCGGCAGCGGCAGCGGGAAAGCGAGCCTGGAGGTGGCATTTCCCTCTTACCCCAGGGAGCCTGACATTCCTGGAAACTGGGCCAGTTCCCTCTCACCTTCCTTTCTCCCTAGCCAAGGCACAATCAAGGGTGAATGGGGCAGGAAGGATGGGCTCCTTGTCTTCCAAACTAAAGCCTTTGTGTCTGAGAGCAAACCTAGCTGCGCAGGGGCTGCAAAGAGCCAGACCTGGGGTGGTGGTAAGGGAATATTCCCAGCAGGAAAACCAGAGAGCTTGTCTGACAAGCATTTGTTAACCGAATTGATCTGATTACTCAGGGTTTTCTTAGCCAGGACTGGGGCAGAGAGGGGCTGCAGTTGCTTTTCATTCTATTTAATTTCTGTTTTCCAAGAATGAATATCAAGGGAGCAGCTTTGATTAAACAAGCCTTTAAAAAGGGGGAGAAAATGCCAGGTTTTACAGAGAGCCTTGCTGAGTCGCTGGCAAATGGCCACATGACACAATATTTTTAGTCTTTGGATATTATCTCCTTTCTTAGTACAAAACTGCTATTCCCTTTAACACAGCTCTTAGGTTCAGGGAAAAAAGAAATTAGCCTGGTGTTAAAAAGAAAAAAAGTATCAAGATTCCAGGAAATCACCCTCTTAATAGAAATTAAAAAGAAAATTCTCATGTGCCTAGTTCTACAGTTCTCCATACGCTTTCTATCTGCTACTGTTTTTCTTTTTTCCTTTCTGCATAACTTGTTGAGACTGTGGGCCCAATGGAGAAGATTTCATAGCCAAGTCTAGCAGTTAGCACATTCAAATAGATTTTTAGAAAATGTTTTGCAGGATGTTTTTTTGTTGCTGCCTTTTTTTTTTTTTTTTTAAGATTCTTTAAGGTGGGAATGTTGGTCTTATGTAGATGGAAAATGAATAAGAAGAAAACCTTAATATTTAACATTGAACAAATATTTATTGAGCATCTATTATGTGCTAGTCACTGAAGATGCAGCAGTGAATGAAATGAAGCCCCTTCCCTTATGGATTCCTTCTAATGGGACAGCAGTAGTAACATTTATTGAGGACTTGCTATGCACCAGGCATTGTTCTAGCACTTTATATGATAACCCGTCGGGCATGCCCTAGTATTATTACCCTTTGCAAGCAACACATGGCTGGAAAGTGGCAAACCAGAATTCACATCCAGGTATTCTGGCTCCAAAGTCACCAAACTTAATTTACTGCCCTGATTTGTGACTCTTGTATTCCACATGAGTCTAAGGGTCCTTCTTCTCGGTTCCCATCACATCCTGTATTGATCCCTCTTGGAGCACCTCTCCAAACCTTTGTTCCCTCAGTTGACCGTAAGATTTCGGAGGGCAGGGCCTGTCTGTCATCTCTGTATCCCAAGACCTTTTCATGCTTGGGACCAACCAGAATTGGAGACTCAGCTGCTAGAGCATTTCAAAACACATGTGGAAAGACACCCTGATTCAGGTTCTTATAGTAAATCTCCTTCCCGACCCACGAGTCTCTAAAACTCTGTCCTTCTATCATATCTAGCTTAAGGCTCTGATTTATGGACATGTGAAGATTCTCTGCAGGGAAGACTCTGCTTAAAGGGACAGGACTGCTCTGTGCATGGGCAGCTGCAGGCCTAGGCAACTGCTGCCAGGCCATGAACTGGAGTGCTTGCTAATGGGGGGCTTGGGATTTAAACATCCCACCTGGGAGTGTCGCCAAGGTGCTTGCACAATTTGTGGGGCTGGGAGAAGGGTGCCCTGTGCCATCACCCAAATATTTCCTCTTAAAAATGGGCAGAAAACACCTAAATGATCAGCAAGAAAGGATTCAGTAAAATAAACCCCTGTAGTGTGATGCTGTGCCGTCGTTAACTAAGCAGGCTGTAAAATACGATTTAAGAATAGGGGTAAATGCTCAAGATATAAATGCAATGAACAGATATTATGATTTTGTTGATAATATCACCACTATTTTTTGGAGAGTATACATTTGTATAGAAAAGAACAGAAGGCTCATCACCAAAATGAGATTTAATAGGTGACATATTTCATCTCTTTTTTATACTTCTCTGTCTTTTTCAGTTTTGTATAAAATACGTTCGTTACAACTAGAAAAACATTATTAAATAATAAACAAAAGGAAACTTTAAAAATGGCTTTAAAACCTTATACTGGCCTCAGAGGAGACCTTTAATCTATTTTCTGTGTACACTCTCTTCTTGTACTGGAAGCTCAGCAGTGATCATAACACAGCAAATCGCTGGGTTGGAAACCTTGGCAGGTGTTTCCTTTGATTCTAGACTTCAGGGGCTGTGGCTCTGGTTGCAAAACCTCCACTGATGATCTGATCCTGAGATCTAAGGCCTTGAGGCTAGAACATCCCTCATCCTAGCAGGAAATAATGAAACCTTCTAAACTTAAAGCCCTTGGAAAAAATGGATATAAACATGTAAGTCTCTAGCGTTGCTACGATCCTTCGTATTTTACGGCGTGCATTCTCATTTAATCCTTGATAACGTGGAGGAGCAATTGGTCAAATCAGCCCTAAATTATAGGCAAGAAAGGCACTTGTCCCAGATATTGTGGTAAGGACCAGAGCTTAAGCCAGATGCAGTGGTTCATGCCTGTAATCCCAGCACTTAGGGAGGCAGAGGCAGGTGGATCCCTTGAGTCAGGAGTTCGAGCCCAGCTGGGCAACATGGTGAAACCCTGTCTCTACAAAAAAAAAATACAGAAAAGTTAGTCGGGTGTGGTGCCACACACCTGTAGTCCTAGCTACTCATGAGGATGAGATGGGAGGATTGCTTGAGCCTGGGAGGTGGAGAGGCTGCAGTGAGCCATGATGGACCCACTGCACTGCAGCCTGGGTAACAGAGCCAGACGCTGTCTCAGACAAAAAAAAAAAAAAAAAAAAAAAGAACTTGGACCCTGAACTCAGCTCTTCTGATCTAGGCTCTTCCCCTGTTTTCTTGACTCCATTGTAGGAGAAACAGAGCAGTCTTGATGAGCTCCATGGATGGCACAGGCAAGGTCCTCCTGTGGCCTGGCCCTCAGTGGGCTGTGCACATAAACCCGTCTCTTCCTATCAGATCAAGGAGTTCTGGGCAGGGTGTCATCAAGAGAGCTAGGCTGGGAGCCAAAGATGACAAAGACTCTCGACTACCCAAAGATGTAGGAAGGACTCTCCCACGTGCCAGGAATTAGATATAAAACAGCTCTTTATATCTAACAGGAATTAGCTATAAAAACCGCTCTTCTATATCCATAAAGCAGCTTCCAGCCTGAACGACAGGCCCTGCCACATTTCATTCTTTGCTCACCCTTGTCCCTGGTTCCTTCAGTCATTTCAATGAGTGTTGGTCGTGCACATTTTTATACCCTGCTATATTGTAAGTGGTTTGTAAGGGTAGCGATCGGATCTGACTTGTTTTGATATAGTCCTATTACCTAATGGGTAGTAGGTGTATTTAAACAGTGTTGGTTAAAGCCAAGGCATAGAATCAAAGCCAGAAGTTGTCCAGAAGAAGTGAGAACACACTGATAGGGATAAGAAGATTGGACTCAGAAGCAGAGTCTGCCTTGACAGGGGTCTTTTATATATTTTCTGTAGTTAGAGCAGGGTCTACTCACCAGCTCTTTAGGGTGTGGTCAACCAGAGCTCAGACCAACAGAGCCAGAAGTTTCTGGATTCAAGAGTGATTAAATTGGGTAACTGCTCATTTGAATCTCATCCTGCTGCATCAGGAACATTCCATAGACTAAGGATATAAAACAGGGGATGAGCTTACATCTTCTGGGGAAGGGTGGGCAGGTGGGCTGATTTTATCAACATTTTCCCCTTGTTTTTTAGTATTTCCTGACTTCTCTCTCAAAGAGCTTCAGAATGTCTGCAAATGGCACCCTCTTCTCCACAGCGGAATTGGACTTTGAAGCAGGACCCAGCAGGTAGCCTGGCTACTGACCTTGCTTGAAGTACCGTTTATCTGAGGCTCAAGGAAAACATGAGGGAAAGATCACAGTACAAACTGAGGGCAGATGAGGGGGGACTTTGAGCGGTCTGCAGCCTCATTGTAAGTCAGATGGTGGTGAACCCCAGAGAGAGACGGAGAATAAGGCAATTGTCTGGGAGTCCTCTTTTGGTCTCCAGAGAACAGGAGTGACAGTATGGGAGATGGTGCCCCAGTACGGGAGTGTCATGAGCAGTGCAAGGTCAGACGTAACCAGTTCCATGCACATTTTCCGCATGTACTGCTTTATAAGTACCTCACTAACCGATTGTGCCACTGGAGCTCCAGGCCCACGCACATTTTGATCTTTCCATAAGGTCAGATTTTTACTGATGCTATTTCAATCCCAAAAGCCATGAACTACATGGAATTCCCGAGGAGGCAACTCTCCTTAGACTTCTTATTGACGCAATAGTCAGAGCGCACAGGCTTAAGCCACTCCACGGGTTGGTCAGTATTGTAAACCAAACATAGATACGTCATCAACACATACATGTCATAAACGTTCCACATCAAAGTAACATTTAACAGCATGAGAAAAGGGAGTAGGAAAAAAAAAGTTAATAAGCCAGACCAAGGACAGTGATGTGGACAAGGAGAGTGTCTTGGTCACATCCAAGGTCATCAGTGTCTTGTAAGGAAAGGTGGTTGATTTGGGCAGATGCTGGGTGCAGATCACAAGTGACACAAGACAGGGTCCGTCAAGATGGCCATGCTGAGCCAGTGAAGTCCTGATCATTTCATGGTCCTTGGGTCCTCTGGTGAAGACTGGTAGTAAAGGATTATGCCCTGACCTACCTGAGTGTTGTCTCTCTTGATTAGGTGAACATCTGGACCCTGTTGGCTTGATGCCTTTTGAAATGTAAGATGGCATCTTTTTCTAAGATGGAGTCACTAATATTAAGGGTGATCTATACAAGTTTTCTCAGAACCCATGTTGTTCGGGAGAGGCAGCCATCCAAGCAAAGTGGCTGATGAGGGGAAAGCAATGACTTGGGGTGAGCAGGCCTCCAGGGAAGTCCAGGCCTTGTGGATGAAAACGCATTGGCCTCGGGGTGAAGCAGGTGAGGCTCCTGGCTCTGCGCCAGGTGTGGGAACAAGAGCTAGACCGGGGAGCCATGGGGCCCTTTCTCCCTCCTGTGGGAGTGATAGGCACATTCCAGGGATCTTGCGAGAAACACCAGAATAGAGGGTGCAGCATGGTGCTTGAGCAGGCGCTGGCCTGGTGGGATGATGGTGGTCAATAGCCACTGCAGAATGAGAAGCAGCCAGTGGGTTCAGGGGCAGGGAGAGAACGGAAGCCCTGCAGGCCCTGAGACTGTGGGGGCATTGTGGAGAGGGTCGCCACCAAAGGGGCAGGCTCTGCCCTCACTCCTCCCACCCCGTGTCTTTCCCCACCACATCTTGAGGTAGTGTAGTAAAGCTTGACTCTCTCATGTGGAATGTTTCCTGGCAGTTTCCATCTCATCGTGGAGGTGAGGGACAGCGGCGGCCTCAGAGCCTCCACGACCATCCATGTGAACATCGTGAACCTCAACGATGAAGCCCCTCGCTTTACCAGGTAGGTCTGAGGGCATCCTTCTTAGGCCACCTCGTCCCCTCTGGCACATTTAATACAAGGCAGAGACATGCCCTTTGCTCTGGCCTGCAGGAGAGATTAGAGGCGCGAGCTCTTCAAAGTCTCTGTCTGGCCCTCTGGACTGCTGTTTTGCACCTTTGCTGCCTCTGCCGCCTGTACCCCTACGTTCACAGGCACCGCAGGATTTGGGGTATTGTGGGGAGGAGGGGTTGACACATGCCCGGATGTGGGGCCTGCCACTGTGCACACGCAGAGGGTGCTTTTATAATAAAGCGCGGCACGTCAGTAACAGTGATGGTGGCCACACGTTAGTGACAGTGATGTCGGCCGCATGTTGGTGACAGTGACGCTGTAGTGACAGTGATGGTGACCGCATGTAACAGTGATAGTGGCCGTACATTAGTGACAGTTATGGTGGCTGCATGTTGGTGACAGTTATGGTGGCTGCACATTAGTGACAGTGATTGTGGCTGCACATTAGTGACAGTGACGGTGGCCACATGTTGGTGACAGTGATGGTAGCCGCACGTTAGTGACAGTGATGGTGGCCGCATGTTGGTGACAGTGATGGTGGCTGCACATTAGTGACAGTGATGGTAGCCACATGTTGGTGACAGTGATGGTAGCCGCACGTTAGTGACAGTGATGGTGTAGTGACAGTGATGGTGACCGCATGTAACAGCGATAGTGGCCGCACGTTAGTGACAGTGATGGTGGCCGCATGTTGGTGACAGTGACGGTGGCTGCACGTTGGTGACAGTGACGGTGGCCGCACATTGGTGACAGTGATGGTAACTGTTAGTAACAGTGATGATGCGGAGTCCCAGATCACATGTCATCACTCACATCTCCCTCCTGGCGTGTCATCCTTGCACTGAGGAGCGGGCTGTTTTCATGGTGCCTGCCCATTACTGGGTGTTCTAAAGTTTCTTCCTTCCATGGTGGATCCAGAAAAGTGATCTGACTGTGTCTGGCAGCTCCTCCGTCCAGCAGAGGTGGGAAGGGTAAATGCGTCAGGTGGAGGGGAGTTTGTGGAAATGTGCCTGGCACCTGACACAAAAGGAAGATCTGAGCCTATCATAGATGGGGATTTAGGAGAAGGGGGGCTTCTGAGCTGGAAGGGGCAGGCTCTGCCCTCACTCCTCCTACTCCATATTTTTCCCCATCCCATTTTAAAGTAACGTCAGCAAAGTTTGATTCTCTCACGTGGAATGTTTCCCTGGCAGTTCTCCTGGCATACTGCTTACAGAGCCTCCGCCTGCCCCAGTCTCTGAGATGGGCATAGGAGCCAGCCACAAGGAAAGTGGCAAAATCACCTTTAACAGCATAAATGGCTCTGAATAGATTCAGCACAGGACCCTCCACCAACAAAAGACCATTTGGCCTCAGAGCTAGGTAGAGGGCTTGCAAAAGTACTCCAAGATTGGGAGGTATTAAGGCAGCCACACTCGCAGGGTAACCTGGTGCCACTTAGCACACGCACCACAGTTGCACAACTTCTGGATGTGAACACAGTCCACAGTCCAGTTGCAGGTATCAAAGAATGCATCTGCTCCAGCCCCACAGCCTGAGGATGGAGCCCCAATACGTTCCTCTTTCCAACCTTGACCCTCAATTTATCTGCTGCGATTAAATTGCTACATAATGCTTTCCATCAGCACCTCAAGCTGGGTTAGGTTCAGAAGGAGAGCACAGTGCCTTTAAGCTGACAGGTGGCTCTTGGAGCAAAGTCCAGGCAGCTTATTAACAGTTGTGACACCCCAGTCCAGACTCATGCTCAGGCATACCACACAGCTCTGCAGGTTCTTTAAGAACCCCCAGAGGAGGTGATGGCTGCAGGGCTGGAGCAGACACATTCTTTGTCACCTTCCCCACAAGCCCCATCTGTGAGGAGGGGAGGCAGGTTAATGGGGTTGCAAAGGGAAAAATAACAAGAACTCCCCAGGGGCAGAACTTGTAAACCATCTGGTTTGGACCACATCTTCAAAAATATAGCAACTGACTTAAGCAGAGAGAAAACATGACTCGTACTGGCTTGGGAGGTACCCAGAGGTCAGCCGGGAACTCTCTGGTTCTCCTTTCAGGTTTGAAAGAGGAACATATCGGGCTCTATCCCCAGGCAGAGAGCATGATCTGTGTGACAATCTGCATTTTTTAGTCAGTCCACTTTATTTCAAACAGCATTCCTTGGATGAAGGTGAAGATGGGTCTGCTAGAGCCTCACTCTAAAAGAAGGAGTGGGGGCAGGGTGGCAGCCCTGACTTGACAGCAGGCAGTCAATGAGAGTCAGCCTCATCCTTCAGCCATACACAATTTGAAAGGATTTGCTCGGTTTCAAACTAAGTGCTGACGTGGAGGGCTTTCATGGTTCCCCTGAGCTTCTGATCCTCCTTTTCCCATAAATCAGTGCTAGCACTAACGATAACTTCTTTAATTCAGGATTAACAAAATTAAATCCTCAAACAGACTCAAGTGTACTGAGCTTGAGTGTGAAATAGAAATGTAGAGCGTAGAGACAGCCTTTCTATCTTTACTATTTGTTAAACTCCTGCAATTAACACAACCAAAGCGAATCCTGTGTCTGTTCATGAGACTGTCTCCCCTTTTTATCCCTGGGTGGTGACAAATGTCGGAAAGCTTTATAGAATCAGGATGCGAGCTCCAGGAGTCTGCTATTATTGAAGTTGAGTATTTTATTATAAAAACCCTTGACAGGCTGACAGGCCAGGCATGGTGGCTCATGACTGTAATCCCCGCACTTTGAGATGCCAAGGCAGGTGGATCACCTGAGGTCAGGAGTTCGAGACCAGCCTGACCAACACGATGAAACCCTATCTCTACTAAAAATACCAAAAATTAGCCAGGCATGGTGTCAGGGGTGCCTATAGTCCCAGCTACTCAGGAGGCTGAGGCAGGAGAATCGTTTGAACCTGGGAGGCGGAGGTTGTGGTGAGCCGAGATGGTACCACTGCAGCCGGGGCAACAAGAGCAAAACTCTGCGTCAAAACCAAAACCAAAACCAAAAGCCCAGCAGCTGACAAATGTACTGTTTTCCCATGCACAGAGCTTGCTATGTGTGCAGAGCTCTTTATTTTAGAGTTGGGTAGCAGGTCTTTCTCCCCTCCTGACTGTTTCTTTTGTATTTACTCAGTCCTTTTCCACCTGATACTCGGCAATGTCATGCACACCTTAGGCACCTACTGAAAACTCATTCATAGTGAAGCCATCCATGGCTTCCCAGCATCTACCTTTCCCCCTGAGTGTGGCTGCTGGCCCAGGCTCTGGAGGTCAGGTGTTTCGGGGAAGAAGGGCGTGGGAATGCAGCTGGCGGCGGAGCTTTGCTCTGTCAGCCTGGCTGCATGGCTCCTGGCTTCACTGTGCTTTGCATAGCTCTTAACTGTGGTCTATGTCGGATGGTATTTTATACATACCTGTAGCTTGGATTCAAAAATCAAATAGATTAAAGATTTTATCTCCTGCCAGGCTCAATGTCAGGCTAATCAGGAGAGAATAGTTCACCTGAGGAGCTGTGCCAATAGCCTGACCAGTCCCTTTCTTGGGGATCTGGGTTCCTGGAGCACTCAGGATGGACTAGATGAGCCTTCAGAGCAGAGTTTCTTAACACAGCAGCACTGATGGCATTGAGCCAGGCACCCCTTTGTAGAGGGGCTGTCCTGTGCACTGGAGGACGTGTAGCAACATCATCTCCGGCTTCTGTCCCCTAAATATCAACAGCAGCTGTCTCTCCTCGTTGTGAAAATCAAACGTGTTCAGATGCCACCCCTGCCCCCCAATTGAGAACCGCTGCCTGAGAAGGAAAAAGGGGTGATGGGAGGAAGGGGCTTCTCTTCCCTAGGTATCCTCTCTCTGTCCTGCGGGAGACTGGGAGGCTGTGGCTGCCACCTCTGGCATCACCTTATAATCATCCTTCTGAAACCTTAAAGCCTGTAGAGAGCCACTGGGCATCTTGTGAAAATGCCAGTCCTGGTTCGGAGGGCTGGGGTGGGCGGGCCTGAGGTCTGCATGTCTAAGCAGCTCCCTGGCGATGCTTCTTCTAGGAGCATGCTTGGAGTAGCGCATAGCCATGTGAGTAGCATAGGCCCCTTAGTGGGCTCTTCGTCAGAAGTTAACAGAACCCACTCAATGACCAAAGCAAAAACACACCACATTAGCAAGAGGGGCGCTCACAGAAGGGACTGAGGAAGTGTCCTGCCTGGGGGGCTGCGGCCACCTCCTCCCCTCCTGGCTCTGTTTTTGCCTCCTGCCACCCCACCTCTTTGGTCCCATCCCACTTTGCCTATTCTTGGACTCACCAGTGACAGCGTGACAGACTCCCTGAAAAGGAGGTGTACCCAGTAAGGGAAGGATGAATGGGCCTGTTTCAGTGGGGCACCGGAGTGCCCTTAGGCTGAACCTGATTACGCCCCCCCCAGCAATGGAATATACCCACAGAAGACCACCTTGTGAATGGATGTGGTGGGACGTTGGATCCAGGGAGGAGCCCTCGTAGGGAGGGTCAGGGCGAGGACCTGGTTCCCACCTTTCTCTGTCTGCCCCTGACTCTAGTGATCGGTTTCCTGCCATCTCTCTTCCCTCTGGCCCTACCTACCTTATTGGGTTGGTGAGAGAGCACAGCAGAAACATGCTGAACTTACGACAGGAGGGCAGTCACTTAGATCTCAGAGGTACTATACCCCTCTCAAAAACGATCCCACATGGGAACTCCTCCACTTGGGAAACTGGGAGATTAGAGGTGACTATTTGCCCCACTGAAATGATTTTCCTCAGCAGAAGGACTTCCTGCCGAGTTATTTTAACCAATAAGCCTTCCCTTAGAGCATTCAAAATTACTCAATATATAGTTAGTTAAAACTCCCAACCTATCAGTCTCATTACTGACCTGTTCCAAAGGCATTGGTGGAGGTCTGAGGAAGATGGGTGAGTTGGTGATTTGGCGTTATCTTGCAAGAAGGAGGACAGTTATGGGGCCTGGTCTTCTGCCAGGGGACCTCGTTCTCAGTTCAGAGAGATGACCTCATGATTAATGCGTGCAATTTCTGTGCATAAATTCTGTATCCTCAGGCAAAAAAAAAAAGACAAGGAAGAAAAAAAAAAGTGAACAAAGGTGTGAAAATGGAGAGGCTTTACAGCATTTTTGGCTTCTGGTGGCAGCGATGCGATGGGAGTCAGGAACAAGGGAGGGAACCGGCAGCTCCGGACATGACCCTGGCATGTAACTCTGGACACAGTGATTTCTAAAAAGAATTCAGGGAAATCTGCACAAAAAGTGGGAAAATGAGAAAAGAGAGCCAGATAGGCCAACTCTCCTTATTTCAAAAGATGTTAATGCCAAGGCTGATCTGAAATGACATCAGGCAGATGTGCGTAGAGTCGGAGACCGTGGTGGCCCATGTAATCGTTGCAACGGCAATGCGGTACTTTCTTCGCATCCACGGGATGTGATCTTTGGGAATACAAAGCCAGCGATGCTCCTTTCCGCTACTGCACCCTCCCGCTGAGCATGTTGATGCAACTTGAACAGCTCTGCACTATATTTAGGACTAACCCAAATACCCATCGCCTAGACGCTACCTTCCTGTGCCCCTGAAAATTAGCTGTGTCTGCTGTATCTCTGTTACAGCCCGACACGAGTGTACATGATCCCGGAGGAACTGAGTCCCGGAACTATCGTGGCCAACATCACAGCGGAGGATCCTGATGAAGAAGGTCTTCCCAGCCACCTCCTCTACAGCATTACCACTGTTAGCAAATATTTCATGATAAATCAGTGTAAGCCACTCACCTCCATCCTTAAGTGCACCCTCTAATTCAGCCATTTGGATTGTTTTACAATGCAGTCATCCCTCGATACCCATGAGAATTGGTTCCAGCATGCACCGGTGGATACCAAAATCCACGTATGCCCAAGTCTTTCTACGAAATGGCATAGTATTTGCATATAACCTATGCCTGTCCCCCCATATACTTTATATCATCTCTAGATTACTTAAACTACCCGATACAACGTAAATGCTATGTGGAGAGTTGTTTTACTGTATTGCTTAGGTAATAATGATGAGAAAAAAATATCTGTACGTGTTTAGTACAGATGCAACCATCCATTTCTTTTTGCTGAATATTTTTAATCCTCAGTTGGTTGAATCTGAGGATGCAGAACCCATGGATACAGAGGGCTGACTGTATTTTTCTTATTTTCTGGTCTGGGCATGTCTTTCTGTCTGGGGTCATCATTGGTTACCAAATTAATAGATGTATGAAAAGCAGCTGGCATGGGGGTTGGGGAAACGAAATAGGGTTGACAACTATGTCCCCCTTCGCCTTTGTGGGAGCTGGTGGGGGGGTGTGTGAAGATATTTATTTTCTTATCCATTGTTAGGTTTGTGACTGAGACCTCTATAAAAAAGACAGATGAACAATAGAAAAGCATACAAATTTATTTAATGTAAGTTTTATGTTACACCAGAGCCTTCAGAAATGAAGACTCAAAGAAACAGGGAAACCCATGTGTTTTAAGCTCGGTTTGATGACGTGAGTAATTACAGAGCAGTATGGCTGGAGGACAGAAGGGTATGATCCGATGATAATAAGCCTAGGGGGGTTTAGCAAGGCCCATTTGTTCAGCTCTTCCTGGCACCTCTGTCTTCCTGAATAGGATGTGCCTTTCCTCCAGTATAGGTACGATACCTCTGGAATGAGGGTCTCGTGACTGCTTCGAAGGAAAGCCAGAGAGCTCTTTTATGGTCTACTTCTGGAAGAAGGGCAGGAGAAGGTCAGAGAGACCTTCTTGCTTCTGCTGTTTCCTCAAATGCAAGGTGCCATATTTTAGGGTAATGTGTCCTGAATCCCAACACCTTTTTCTCAAAGGCAGGTGTGTAAGGATGGATGGGTTACTTATCCTGAGAGTACCCTTTAGTCTTCTGAAAAGAGAAGCTATCTCAGCACTGTCCAATAGGAATAGAATAATTTCAAAGCCTCTAGCAGCCACATTTTTAAAAAGTAAAAAGAAATAGGAGAAATTCATTTCAATAAGGCATTTTTATTTAACTCAACGTGTATAAAATATCTTTTCAATGTAATCAATACTTAAAAGTTATTCATGGGCAGGCGTAGTGGCTCATGTCTGTAATCCCAGCACTTTGAGAGGCTGAGGCCAGAGGATTGCTTGAGCCCAGGAGCTCTAGATCAGCCTGGGCAATGTAGTTAAACCCTGTCTCTACTAAAAATTTAAAAATTAGCTGAGTGTGGTGACCCACACCTATAGTCCCAGCTACTCAGGAAGTTGAGGCAGGAGGATTTCTTGAGCCCAGGAGTTTAAGGCTGCAGTGAGCTATGATCATTCCACTCTACTCCAGCCTGAGAGACAGAGCAAGACCCTGTCTCAAAAAAATATATGTATTCATGAGGTATTTCATATCATTTTCTTTGGTATCAAGTCTTGGAAGATTGTTGTATGTTTTATTCTTACAGTACATCTCAATTTGGACTAGCACCATTTAATCACTCAATAACTCTCATGTGACTCGTGGTAACTGTACGGGACAGTGTCATTCTAGATCAATCCACCAGACTGCTGGGAGTTATTTTCCCATCTCTGAAGGGGAGGAAATCCCCTTCTCTTTCATAACCGTCTTTTACTGGGGCCTTAGTACATACCAGGCATTATGCTGAGTGATTAGTCACATGTATCTCATCTCAAGTACTCAAGATGGTAACTCAATGAACGATCATCATTCACATTTTACAGATGAGGAAACTGAGGCCTAGGGAGAGCCTCAGGCAGGTTAAACAACTTGCTCAAAGTCTCACAGCTTGTAGGTCGTGAAACAGAAGTACCAACCTAAGCTGCCCAATTCCTCAGGCCTGTCCTCTTCACCACTACCAGACTGTCCCACCCCTGTAAGTCCTAATTGCATCACCAAAAAGGACTTCAGCCTTGGACAATTCCCAAATGTGCTACTGGCTCCTTAGGCTTTTGGGCAAAAGGATACCTATTCCCAGGAGATGCGGGCAAAGGCAATAATTGAGCACTGCCTCTGAAAACGTCCTAAAGCCCTGTCAGCTGAGAGTATAGGGACAACCACGGTTGAGAATGCTGTCTACTCCAGTGTTGCAAAAGTCAACTTTTAACAAGCAGAGAGAATTTGAGTTTTTTATTTTTTTTTATTTTTTTTTTTTTTATTTTAGCATTTTATTAAGGTTCTTTGGTTGCAGGTAACAGAAACTAAGGCCAACCATGCTCACCAAAAGGGGAAAAAAAAGGCAGGGACATCTATCAACAGGATTCAGGGCATCTCCTAAGAAGATGTCAAAAGGTGGGGGCACAGGAAGGATATGACCCAGCGCTGCTCTAGGGACTTCAGCTCTGTAGCTCCACTATTAGCCTGGCTGAGCCTCCAATGTGTCTTTCAGTTAGAAATTCTTCAATAAGAGAGTCCTGTGGGTCAAGCTGGAGTCAGCTACCTACCAGTCCAGTCCACTATAGGGCAAGGGCTGCCCCCAGGGACCCAACTCTGAAGTACAGTGTGAAAATTCCTAGAAGGATCAGGCCAGATAACCCCAAGAAATGCCTAACACAGGAGCTTCATGGGTTTTCAAAAATGTACTTGTATAGAGATTATGCTCTGCATAAGCTCTTTCTCCTATTAGAATGGTCTTTGCCAGGTTTCTCCAAGTTTCTGTGTTCCTTTCATTTCTCTTCAAAGGGTCACATTCTAACCTTTGCTTTCTTTGAGACAGCGTTTTGCTCTTGTTACCCAGGCTGGAGTGCAATGGCGCGATCCTGGCTCACCGCAACCTCCGCCTCCTGGGTTCAGGCAATTCTCCTGCCTCAGCCTCCTGAGTAGCTGGGATTACAGGCACGCGCCACCATGCCCAGCTAATTTTTTTGTATTTTTAGTAGAGACGGGGTTTCACCATGTTGACCAGGATGGTCTCGATCTCTTGACCTTGTGATCCGCCCGTCTCGGCCTCCCAAAGTGCTGGGATTATAGGCGTGAGCCACCGCGCCCGGCCCATCTAACCTTTGCTTTCTTAGTGACTGGTGCAATCCAAGTGGCCCAGAGGATCGACCGAGATGCAGGTGAATTGCGACAGCATCCCACCATTTCCCTGGAAGTTCTGGTGAAGGACAGACCACATGGGGGTCAGGAGAATCGCATCCAGATAACCTTCACTGTGGAAGACATCAACGACAATCCTGCCACATGCCAAAGGTTCACCTTCAGGTATGCACACGTTGAAACTTGTGCTGGGTGTTCCACCTCTGGCGGCCTTCCACCCTTTGGCTTCTCTGGTATATTCTCAGGAGGACCTGAAGAGTCGTAGGCATTTGGAGAAAGAGCTCACTAGACTAAATCGATGTGAACTGTTTGCTTCTGTCCACAGGTTTCCTTGGCATCATCCTTTCCCCTTCCCTCTCTTTCATTTTCCTCCTTCTTCTTCATTATCTCCCTTGTTCACTTTCTTACCCTTAAGAATTGGTTTTTATTTTGCTCCCCTCTATCTCCTGCTCATCTCTGTGGGTGAAAAGGGCCACAGGGACTTGTTAGGCCCTCTCTGGACTGTGCCTGCTCTTTATTTATTGCCACGGGTGGCAAGATGGGGCTGTTAGTTAGCAGTTATAATAGATGCTTGAGCCTTAGGATCAGTAAGTAGGAACTCCCAGAGAAACACACCACCAGCCAGATGAATAAATCAAACCAAGTGCTTATGTAAAACCAAACAAAGCATCGAATTCGCCTTACATGACTTAATTGAATATAAACACAAGGCATCTGAAAGGGAAAAAAAAAATGCAGATACAAGTGGGTTACAAGTGATTTTGTGTATTTTGACTCATTCTTTTTGCTATTATTTTAAAATACAGTCCCTTGTGATTCTGGGTTAATATGCTTTTTTTTTTTTTTTTTTTTTTTTTTTTTTTTTTTTGAGACGGAGTTTCGCTCTTGTTACCCAGGCTGGAGTGCAATGGCCGTGATCTCGGCTCACCGCAACCTCCGCCTCCTGGGTTCAGGCAATTCTCCTGCCTCAGCCTCCCGAGTAGCTGGGATTACAGGCACACGCCACCATGCCCAGCTAACTTTTTGTATTTTTAGTAGAGACGGGGTTTTACCTTGTTGACCAGGACGGTCTCGATCTCTTGACCTTGTGATCCACCCGCCTCGGCCTCCCAAAGTGCTGGGATTACAGGTTTGAGCCACTGCGCCCGGCTAATATGCTTTTTGAAAACAAGATCGTCTTTCTACTGTTCTGTCAAATAGCCACATGATGAGTACTTTCCCACGTTAGCCTCCTCTCTGAGGTTTTGTCCCAGCCAGTCTCTGGTCTCTTGAGAGGCTGAAGAGGGCTCTTTGGGAGGAACTGGGGCTGTGGGAAGCAACTCCACAGTAGCCCTTGCTAAGAGATGGCCCTGCATCTGGAGCAAGGCTGAAGACCAGGGTGGGTCTCAGGTCCAGAGGTCCCCATGGGGAGAGTCTCCTGAGCTTATCTTTGACTGGCTTTCTAAGTTTTCTCCAGGTGACTCCGAACATAAACCCAATACATGCAGAGGACAAAGGATCCCAGACGAGGATTGCGTAGGAGGAACAGTAGAAACAGAAATTCCTTTGTTTTACTCATGGATGTCTCCTTGTCCCAAATGCCACGCCCAGCATAATGCTAGAGGATCCATGTGGCCTCGAGTCTGATAGCGAAATGATTAAACTCTGTTCTAGACACACCCCTGACTTGTCCCTTCAGATCCAGTCTCCACCCTGCTCTGTGCTCCAAGATGCTGACCTGGATGGATACTGTATTAGTCCATTTTCACGCTGCTGATAGAGACATACCTAATACAGGGCAATTTACGAAAGAGAGAGGTTTAATCGGACTTATAGTCCCATATGGCTGGGGAAGCCTCACAATCATGACAGAAGACAAAGAGAAGCAAGTCATGTCTTACATAGATGGCAGCAGGCAAAGAGAAAGAGCTTGCCTAGGGATGCCCCCCATAAAGCTATCAGATCTCGTGAGACTTATTCATGATCACGAGAACAGCACAGGAAACACTTGCCCTCATGATTCAATTACCTGCCACCAGGTCCCTCCTACAACATGTAGGAATTCAAGGTGAGACTTTGGTGGAGACACAGCCAAACCATATCAACCTGACCCAGTCCTTCCCAAAGCTCATGTTCTCACATTTCAAAGCCAATCATGTCTTCCCAGCAGTCACCCAAAGTCTTAACTAATCTCAGCATTAACTCAAAAGTCCACAGTCCAAAGTCTCATCAGAGACAAGGCAAGTCCCTTTTGCCTATGAGCCTGTAAAATCAAAAGCAAGTCAGTTACTTTCTACATACAATGGGGGTGTAGGCTTTGGGTAAATGCAGCTGTTCCAAGTGGGAGAAATTGGCGAAAATGAAGGGGCTACAGGCCCCATGCAAATCTGAAATCTAGCAGGGAGTCCAATCTTAAAGCTCCAAAACGATCTCCTTTGACTGCATGTCTCACATCCAGGTCATGCTAAGGCAAGACGTGGGTTCCCGTGGTCTTGGGGAGCTCCGCCCCTGCAGCTTTGCAGGGTACAGCTTTTCTCCCAGCTGCTTTCATGAGCTAGCATTGAGTGTCTGTGGTTTTTCCAGGTGCATGGCGCAAGCTGTCAGTGGACTTACCATTCTGGTGTCTGGAGGACAGTGGCCCTCTTCTCACAGCTCCGCTAGGTAGTGCCTCAGTAGGGACTCTGTGTGGGGACTCCAACCCCACACTTCCCTCTGCACTACCCGAACAGAGGTTCTCCGCGAGGACCACCCACCCCACCCCTCTCCACTGCAACAAACTTCTGTCTGGGCATCCAGGCATTTCCGTACATCCTCTTCTATACAGAGGTTCCCAAACCTCAAGTCTTGACTTCTGCGCAGTCTCGACACCATGCGGAAGCTGGCAGAGTGTTGCTTCTACCCTCTGAAGCAACAGCCTGAGCTATACGTTGGCCCCTTTTAGTCACTCATGGCTAGCGGGTGGAGGGCACCAAGTCCCTAAACTGCACATTTTCCTGTCTTCTTCTGTACACAACAGAGGGACCCTGGGCCGAGGTCATAAAATCATTTTTTACCCCTAAACCTCTGTGCCTGTGATGGGAGAGGCTGCCACAGAGGTCTCTGACATGCCCTGGAGACATCCTCCCCGTTGCCTTGGTGATTAACATTCAGCTCATTGTTACTTATGCAAATTTATGTAGCTGGCTTGAATTTCTCCTCAGAAAGTGTGATTTTCCTTTCTATTGCATTGTCTGGCTGCAAAATTTCCAACCTTTTAAACTCTGCTTCCTTTATAAAACTGAATGCCTTTAATAGCACCCAAGTCACCTCATGAATGCTTTGCTGCTTAGAAATTTCTTCCACCAGATACCCTAAATCATCTCTCTCAAGTTCTGAGTTCCACAAATCTCTAGGGCAGTCTAAATGCCACCGGTCTCTTTGCTAAAACATAACAAGGGTCACCTTTGTTCCAGTCCCAACAAGTTCCTCATCTCCATCTGAGACCACCACAGCCTAGATTTGATTGTTCATATCATTATCAGCATTTTTGTCAAAGTCATTCAACATGTCTCTAGGGAGTTCTAAACTTTCCCATATTTTCTTGTCTTCTTCTGAGCCCTCCAAACTGTTCCAATCCCTGCCTGCTACCCATTTCTAAAGTCACATCTACATTTTCAGGTATCTACAGCAGTGCTCCTCTCTACTGGTACCAATTTACTGGATTAGTCTGTTTTCATACCACTAATACAGACATACCTGAGACTGGGCAATGTGCAAAAGAAAGAGATTTAATGGACTTACAGTTCCACATGGCTGGGGAAGCTTCATAATCATGGCAGAAGGCAAGGAGGAGCAAGTCATGTCTTACATAGATGGCAGCAGGCAAAGAGAGAGAGAGCTTGTGCAGGGAAACTCCCCCTTATGAAGCCATCAGATCTGGTGAGTCTTACTATCATGAAAACAGCATAAGAAAGACTTGCCCCCATGATTCAGTTTCCTCCCACTGGGTCCCTTTTATAATATGTGGGAATTCAAGTTTAGACTTGGGTGGGGACACAGCCAAACGGTATCAGACACCAACCAGTTCCCTTGCCTTCCAGCTTCTGGTTGGCCAATGGGGAATCCTGGAAGGGGGAAAGGGTAGGGCCAAGCTCTCTCCTTGTGAGCTGGATGTACTCCTCCCTGCCTGAAGGTCTCCATTCACATAGGCAGCTCTCTGTCCCTGGCGGCAGGACCTGTTCCCTCCACTGGTTCCCCTGGGCCTAGAGGTGGTAAGCGTGCTTCACTCTTGAGCTCTGAGATATTGCATTGTCCCTTGGGATTTCCATATACCTGTGAGTGAGCATCTTCTTCTTAGTCCCTTTATTGACCCCTCCTAGAATGATCCTAATTCACCAGCTGCTTCCTGCTGACACCCCGATAATGTCAGTCACAATTTTGAGCATGTGCTACGTTCCTAGCCCAACTGAGCCCTACAGTCCATTAGATGGGTGGGGACAGCTGCATGGGTAGTTAGGATTGTAACTTCCACACCTTTACATACATAAATTGAACCCACCCTCTGCTGAGAGATGTCTGGACCCTGGGGATGGAGTAGAGATGATTTGTAGCATCACACTTACGCGTTCTTTGGCATTTTAAATCTATGCTAGCACTCTTGGGCAGTTCCTGTACATCCTGGGAAGCTCCTGCCCTCTTCCACTTTCCTGCTCCTCCTTGTTCTTCTGCCCTAAGAGGTAGGGGGTAAAGATTAAGAAGTGAGAATGCTTGGAGAGGGGTGCACTGTCTCAAACCTTCCTTGCCCACTTTCTCCCTTCAGTGCATATCTGCTGAGTGTGTATTTGGCTTCCTGCAGTCCAGAGTCCCCTGGGGTATGGAAAGACACAGTTTGCAGACTGTGTTCCATATTAGCTGGCGAAACCACAGTTGGAATATCCTAGACCGTCCAGGCAAGCCCAGAGTCCCGCTTTCGATAATCTTCCCTCCGATTAGCCCTGAAGGCCAATGTGAAATCTGTAACTGGACTAATTGCATTTATTACTGAAGACAATCTAACCAGGGCTGAAGTCCCTTCTCTGGGCTCTTCTAGCGGGAGGAATTCTCAACCACACTGTGAATGCCAATTTGTGAGGCAGGGCAACAAAAGGGACCCTTCCTCTGCAGTCCCAGGGGCGAGGTCTAAAAGCCCATCCCCGCATCCCAAGTCTGCATAAGGACGGGTGCAGAGAGGCCCCAACCTGCAGCACCCCCCATCCTCCCAGCCTCATACCTTCTCCAGTCCTGCTATGTCAAAGCAAGCACACAGGCAGGTCAAAACAGAACAAAGCGACAATAGCAGTGGTGCTGCCACGGGATCTGACACTTGTTCCTGAATGTTTGTTCCTTCCTCGTAGGCTGTGGGCGTGGCCCTGCTGGGGAGTGAGAGCAGGTGGCAGAGCGGGTGGGGTCCGCGCAGCTGCTGGAGGTCGCGTGCCATACTCCCGCGGTGGAGAGGGCGGCAGCGAGGAGGCGGGCGCCCCCTGCTGCCCGTGCGGGCCCCTGCAGGCTCCCAGCCCTTGGCGCCGAGGCCCCAGCGCCTTTCCCAGGCTGATGATGAATGAGCCCCAGAGCCCCACCGAGGCATCCGAGGCACGGTGACAGCCTCCTTTCTGGTTGTAAATTGTTAGGCGCTTCGCTGAAGGTGCTTCGCAAGCTGTTTGTGAGCAAGAGGTAGAGCAGTCTGGCTGATTCGGAATGGGCTGGACACAGTCACCTTTGCGTGGGGAGAGAAACATGGTCTGCTGGCTGGGAAGAGGGCAGCCTGCTTTTGGGGCAGGGATTGCTGAATGAGGGGAGTTGGCTTTCCAAGTTAGGCGTATAGGGGAAAAAACACCAAGTGTCAGCGAAGAATGAGAGAACAGGCCAAGCAACCCTGGGGGGGCCAAGTGAAGGGTTGGAGTTCCTGAAATGCCTGGCTTCAGAACCTTGGATTCTTTAAATGATGCAATCTTCTGGCTTCTGCAGAGCTGAAATCAAGGCTTAGATCCCCAAACCATCTGTGAACCTGGATACTTATCAATGGAAGTTCAAGTTTACAGGGACACTTAGACTGCCGAGGATACATACAGTGTATGTCTGCATACATCCGCTTTCCTGGACGGGCCGGGAAACTGCTTGTAGCGACTCTTCCCCTGTGCGGTGGCGACAAGAATACAAACCTCTCTGAAATGAGGAAATTAGAGATAGTGTTTTTAAAGTGCTTGGTATGACACAGCATGAAGCCGATGTTTAGTAAGTTGGGATCTATGCTAAGTCCCTATGAATGCAACCACATTGCGCAATCAAGACAGGAATGCTGACTCCAATCCTGCTGAAATTCAGAGGTGATCTTTGCCAATGAGGCATCGTGGAGACTCCATCATGCCTGTTTTCACTCCAGCCAGCAAACCTGTTATCCTCAGTGGCCCGTGACCATCCTTGCTGTCAGACTTTGCGCCGTCTGCACTGAGCCCAGAGCCTATTTTATCTGCCATGAAAGGAGGATGTGGAACATAGAAGGGGGCAGAGTTTGGTTGCAGGAAGAAGTGTGTGCTCCAAGAACCAGATGCTAAGATGGGATTAAATGTGTAAGGCTATTATTAGGGGAGATGCCTGTGGCAGACAATGGGGAGAGAGATGGACAAGACGGGGCACGTCATCAGATCATGATGCAAGGCTGACCTGGGTGAAAGAAAAGAGGGAGGGAAGGTAGATGGACATGTTCTAGGCTGCCATGCCATCTAAAGAGTGTTCAGCTAGGCCACTGGGGGTCCCGGAGCCAGTGTCAGCTGACATAGGACAGGAATAAACCTTAGTCTCTTTGCCATGACCAGTTGTTGGTACGTGGCCTCACCGCACAGAGGTGGATTTCAGAGCCCAGCAGCTGAAGCCGATGGTCAGTTATGTGCTCGTGGTTGGAGGTCTATCCAGGTACCCTCTCATGACAGCCACGAGATATTTTTGTAAGAAATTCTACCAAGGCAAAATATGATTGAGATAGGTAGCCAAAACAAACAAAAAAGAAAAAAAAAAACAAAAATTCCTCCCCGCCTGCTCTGTATGCATGCTCCTTTGCAATGTGAATTTGCTATTCCCGGCAAGAGTTGGGTCTTGGTGGGCGTGGGGCCTCACACCTGTAATCCCAGCCCTTTGGGTGGCTGAGGCGGGTGGATCGCCTGAGATCAGGAGTCGAGACCAGCCTGACCAACATGGAGAAAACCCATTTCTACCAAAAATTTAAAATTAGCCGGGTGTGGTGGCAAATGCCTGTAATCCCAGCTACTGAGTCTGAGGCAGAAGAGTCACTTGAACACAGGAGGCGGAGGTTGTGGTGAGCTGAAATCCCACCATTGTACTCCAGCCTGGCCAGCAACAGCAAAACTCCGTCTCAAAAGAAGAGATGGTTCTCCTTGAATCTGAGCTTGACCACCTGAATTGCTTTCACCTCTGGAGCATTCACAAACGTGGAACAACAGAGGCTGGAAAAATGCATGTGCATTGGAACTTGCCCTCTCTTGTTACTTTTGGAAGCCAGAGACCTCCGTGCAATGAGCCTAAACTGGCCTTCTAGAAGACAAGAACAACAAGAAGCATACACCAAGCACCTCCCCACCACCAGGCATGTGAGTGAGTCCATCCTAGACCATCAAGCCCCCAGCCAAGCTGTCAGTGATCACAGAGACCAGCTGAGCTAAACTCAAACCAGAAGGACTGTGGGAAAACCCACAGTACCGTGAGAAATAATAAATGCTTGTTGTTTTAATTCCCTCAGCTTGGGGATGGTGTGTTCTGTAGTAAAAACTAATTGATATAATTTATGCCCATTTTATAGATGAAGAAACTGAAACGTGGAGACATGAGAAAGGCCTTCAATGACCTGAAACCTCAAGGTGTTCATTGGTCTTTCTCAGAACCTCCCACGAAAGCTGGGCTTCATTCGAAGGCTCGAAGTTTGGGGGTAGCTTTACTCATTTGTGTTATTTGCCTAAACCCTGAAGTCTACTGAGATTGAGACACCCAAATTTGATCATTTAATAAACCTCTTCTGAATGAATAATAGAAAGGTGTCAGGAGGCCCTTCTAGGCCATTGAAGCCACTAGAACACAAGTCAAGGAATTCTCAATCTTAAGCATGGGAGACAAGGGGTACAGGGATTTGCCCTAGCCTAATTAGAAACTCCTTCAGGCAGGAGGTAAAATTTGTATTTTTCTAATATTCTTCTTCATGACTGTGCTAGTCTTATATGTCTATTTTTCGTTCACTCAACCAATATGTATTGAGTGTGCCAAGAAAAATGCGAAGATCCTTGCCCTCATAGAGTTTACTTTCTAGGAAAGAAATAGACAATCAACAGAATGGTGTATCAGATGATGATGTGTGTTAAGAATTAAAAATAAGGCCGGGCGCGGTGGCTCAAGCCTGTAATCCCAGCACTTTGGGAGGCCGAGGCGGCTGGATCACGAGGTCGAGAGATCGAGACCATCCTGGTCAACATGGTGAAACCCCGTCTCTACTAAAAATACAAAAAATTAGCTGGGCATGGTGGCACGTGCCTGTAATCCCAGCTACTCAGGAGGCCGAGGCAGGAGAATTGCCTGAACCCAGGAGACGGAGGTTGCGGTGAGCCGAGATCGCGCCATTGCACTCCAGCCTGGGTAACAAGAGCGAAACTCTGTCTCAAAAAAAAAAAAAAAAAAAAAGAATTAAAAATAAAGAGGGGAACAGGAAAGGAGGCACCAGCCAGGGACCACTGCCATTCTAGATAGGGTAGCCTCCCTGATAAGGTGACAGTTGATTAGACAGACGAAAGAAAGTGGAAGGGGGAGCCACTTGGGTATTTGTGGGGAGAGGGTTCCACAGCGAGTGCAGTGACGCTGAAGCCAGAGCCTCTTGAAGAGTTCAGGGAGCACTAGGAGGCCAGAGTGGCCGGAGGAGAGTGAACACGGAGAACTAGTGAGTGATGTTCAGAGAGGAAAAGGTGGGCATGTCACCAAGGGTTCTGATCAAAGGTGGGACTTCATGTGAAAGGAGGAGCCGTTTGGGACTTAGGAGCAGAGGAGTGACGTGATCTGACGCTATGTTAACAGGATCCCTCTGGCTGCTGTGTTTAGCCCAAAAGGCAGCAAGGGCACAATCAGAGAGACCAGTTAGGAGGTGACTGCCATGACCACGGACTGACTTTGAATTGCAGTGAAAGCAGAGAGGTCTAGCCCAGGACCCATGTGAGAAGAAACAATCACCATTCGTTGGGAGAAACACTGAATTGTGTCTTTTCACCAGCATTATGGTGCCGGAAAGAACAGCCAACGGGACGTTGCTTCTTGACCTGAACAATTTCTGCTTTGATGATGACAGCAAGGCACCCAACAACAGATTCAACTTCAGCACGCCATCTGGAGTGGGGGACGGCGGCAGATTTTCACAGGATCCAGCTGGCTCTGGGAAAATCGTGGTCAGTTAATGGTTGTTGCATCATTAAAAGGGCATCGGGATTTGGTCCAACATACATCATGCTTTTGCTGCCCCATAGAGAGAAATTTCCAAGGTAACCCCCTCTCAGAGTGACTGTAACTGACGGGCTTAATAGTGAGTCTGTGTTCTCCATTCGCTCTTTATTCTACCCCGTTCCGGGAATCGCTGGTTACACGTAGTTGTGCCCGGCCTGCTAAGGACTGGATTCTTTCTCGGGTAGCACGCAGTGTGTGTGCCTGCTTAGTGTGCCTTCACAGACACGTCCCTGCCCTCGGTGCTCAGGCACTTTTCTTTATGTGAGTGCTCATTCCTGGCCCATAGAGGTGTGAGGTGAGAGAAAGCAGGGCCGGGCCTTGAGCGGGTCCAGATAAATTCCACACTGTAGAACCACTGGAGACCAGAGGAGAGGGAGCCAGCGAGGATGGATAGGGAGTCCCCTCACTGGCAACTCCAAGGGACAAACGCCGCGTTGGAAGAAGGATGGGCATGAGAAGTGGGTCCCAATGAGCTGAGTTAGACCTTTCCTTCAGAGCTTCTGCTGGAGGCTGGTGTGGAAGAAGAGGGAAATGGAAGGGCTGGGAAAGCGGCCGCCTGCCGCCCTCCCCTCACGGTCCTTCTTCTCCACCTCACACCCCAAACCCTTCTTCAATCCCCAAGAACATCTCACCCACTTTATTCATCGTACCATCTTAAGAATCATTTCTGGTTTTTTTGTTGTTGTTGTTTAGGGAATTAATACATGTTCTGTAGAAATTAATATATGAAACTGTAGAAAATGTGAAAGCACAGAAAAGCATCACCATTTCCTGCTAACCAGTGCTAATAGTTTAGTACAATTCCCTCTTGTCTTTTTTCTGTAGATATAGTTTATGTGTATTTTCTACCTATATGCATAAGTATTTTTTATTTTTATTTTTTTAAGAGACGACATCTCACTCTGTCACCCAGGCCGGAAGTGCAGTGTGGCAATCATAGCTCACCAGAGCCTCAAACTCCTAGACTCAAGTGATCCTCACATGTCTGCCTCCCTAGCAGGTGGTACTACAGGAGTGCACCACCATGCCTGGCTAATTTTTTAGTTCTTTGTGGAGATGGGGTCTTGCTATATTGCCCAAGCTGGTCTCAAACTCCTGGTCTCAGGCAGTCCTTCCACCTCAGCCTCTCCAAGTGCTGGGATTATAGGCGTGAGCTACCGTGCCCAGCCGGCATAAGTATTTTAAATACAGTCGTGCTCCCTTACCCACAGGGGATATGTTCCAAGACCGCTAGTGGATGCTTGAAACCACAGACAGTACTAGACCCCACATACACTATGTTTTTTCCTTATATACATGGATACCTATAGTAAGCTTAATTTATAAATTAGGTACAGTAAGCATTCACAATAATAACAAACAATAAAATAGAAAAATTATAACAAAATGCTATCACAAAAATTATGTGGCATGCATGTTGGTGCACCCCCACAGTCCCAGCTGCTTGGGAGGCTGAGATGGGAGGATCCCTTGAGGCCACAAGTTTGAGGCTGCAGTGAGCTATGATTACACCTGTGAATGGCCACTGCACACCAGCCTGGGCAATGAAGGGGACTTCTATCTCTAAAGAAGAATAACGAAAACCAGTTATGTGGATGTGTTTCTCTCTCTCAAAATATCTTATAGTACTGTACTCACTCTTTTCAGACTGCGGTTGACTGTAAGTAACTGAAACTGTCAAAAGCAAAACCACGGATAGTTAGGAGGGACTGCTATGATGAAACAGCCCTGCATATAAGATTCAACTCTGTGCTTTTCTTCAATGAAGCTGAAGTTGTGATCCTGTGCTGCTGAGCACTAGTGCTTAATGAACATATTTGAACATCGATTCTCTCTCCTGGTTAATTATTTCAGCAAGTTCGCTAGCAGTGAGCAAACGTATGGTCGTAACTTTTTAAGGCTCCTCACTTTTATGGGCAAAGTGTTTTCCAAAAGTGTTTTGCCAGTTTACATATCCAGTAGCAACACATGAAAATGTCTCTCTCAGTCCAATAAATAGGATGTTTAATCTGTATAATCTACTATCTCTGTTTTAATCTAGCTGATTGGTGATCTAGATTATGAAAATCCAAGTAATCTAGCAGCCGGCAATAAATACATGGTGATAATCCAGGTGCAGGATGTGGGGGCCCCTTACTATAAAAGCAAGTATCATTTTGTTTTATTTCATGAGTGTCTTTCTTATCAATTTCTTATCAATGACTAAACTCTGCTGGGTAATACTAGGTATTGTACTAGGTCCCCCGTCTCACTAGTACTGCTCTCACCCAGGGACTGAATTACAACACTTAAGGCTCTTTGAAGGGTCTCTCTACCTTCAGTCTCACCACTTTCCAATGCATCCTCCAGATTTCTGTCGATGATTTTTCAGAAAATGCAAATGTCATCATATTACTTCCTTGGTTAAAGCCTTTGAGCATCTCCGGTAGCTGTCAAGTTCAAGTTCCACCACTTGGGCCTGGCATACAAGAATTTCCATCATTTGTTGCCTCTTAATTCTCCAGCTTTACCTCCTGTCACTTGCCTCCAAGCCCCTTACTTTTTTTTTTTTTTTTTTTTTTGAGATGGAGACTCACTTTGTCACCTAGGCTGGAGTGCAGTGGCGCGATCTCAGCTAATCACAGACAGAACCTCTGTCTCCCAGGTTCAAGCGATTCTCCTGCCTCAGCCTCTCAAGTAGCTGGGACTACAGGCACATGCCACCACGCCCAGCTCATTTTTGTATTTTTAGTAGAGACAAGGTTTCACCATGTTGATCAGGCTGGTCTCAAACCGTTGACCTCGTGACCTGCATGCCTTGGCCTTTCAAAGTGCTGGGATTACAGGCATGAGCCACCTTGCTTGGCCCAAGCCACCATTTTTTTCCAACTGGGCAAACAACTTGAAATTTTCCTGAGTGAATTATGTGGTTTTATACCTTGGCATTTTTGCATATGCCTACAACGCCCCGCCAATCTCGCCCCTGGCCCATTTGTCTAATTCTATCCTTGTAAGGCTCAGCTTGTACTTTTTCCTGGGAGCTGCTCCTCTTCTGGGTTCTGTAGTGCCCTGTGTGCTCATGTGCTTATTAAAGGGTGACCACCCTCAGCATCTAAAAGGCAGGAGTTCCCAGAGCTTAGTCACCTGGTATCCCCTATGTGCAGAGCCTGTACACAGGAGAGTCTTTAAGGATGTTGAATAAACAAATGGATGAGCATGAACTTGTGATTAAATGTGTTTCTATTTCCCTTTTTAGATAACATCTACGTTTATATCCTAACAAGCCCGGAAAATGAGTTTCCTCTCATTTTTGATAGGCCATCCTACGTATTTTCTGTGTCAGAAAGAAGACCGGGTAAGTCACAGAGTCACAGACCACAGTGCTCTTGATGGACTCTGTCCAAAGGTGTGTTCTTTGGGGTGGAAAGCTCCCTTCTGGAGGCCTCGTGTGCTGTTTTGCACAGTGATTCACAGCTGATTAGTATTTATTGCACCTCTTATTTCTTTTAAATTTTCCTTGCTGCTGAGGAGCCCTTCAGGTGAAACTTGGACTTTTGAAATCTGTTGATGAAACCGCCTTTCTCGGAAGCCTCTGATTGCTTCCTCATCTGTTTGCCCAATTCCGCTAATACTCCCTTCCCGAAGCTTAAGTTTTCTCTTGGTCTCCACTGTGAGTTTTATCCAGCTCACCCAGAGAATTGAAATTTAACAACAGAGAAAACATTTCCCATTTCTGGGAAATTTCCTTCATTTACAAACAAAATAAAGACGATTTCTCTCTCCCCTGCTGGGATTCACTGGAGGCCTTCTTTTCTACGCTTTACAACACCCTGCTTTTTGCAGACTCTTCCCCCATTAAGGAAAGGACTCAGTCCCCACTTCCAGCTTCACTATCTGCCTCTCTTTTGCTCTCTCAGCTTGAAGATAATACTGTAAATGCTCTCATGTAATAGACTCCCCACAGCCTTTCATCTTTAGATCATGGATACTTTTTCCATATTAAAAATAACAACAACAACAACAACAAATCAAACCAAAACCAAAACGCTCCCTCTCAAATGATCCATTCTCTTCAGGATGGTCTCCATTTCCGGACATGAAGTTTTCAAGCAAAATGCAAAATGAAGGTCCAAAGAAAATGCTTTTAATTTCTTATACTTTATTCCGGAAATAGCAAATCAGAAAGGAACAGGCTTTCTGTGAACTCACAGATCTTACTACAGTTCTCTTTGATCACCTACTTTGGGTCACACACTTAGTGCTGGGGATCTAGAATTGAACAAGAGAAGGCTTCTGCCCTTGAGGAATGTAATTTATGGGAAGGAACTCCTATAAAACAAGCAAGCCAGAATGCTAGCAGCCCCACCAACCCTATTTGTAAAATTAGCAAAATGGTAGAGGATTTAAAAATCTATAATCTGTAATCACCAACTGCTAAATTATTTCGAAATTGTTTATTTTTATAAGAGCAATTCATGCTCATTACAGAACACTGAAACGCATGGGACTTTTAGACAACACTGCTGCAAAGAGATGTTTGTGTGAGGATGTACGTTCTTGGCACTGTTGTTTATGAGAGCAAAATGACTGGTGTCCCTGGAGTCTATATAAAGGCATAAGTTGGCGGACGAGGTGGCTCACGCCTATAATCCTAGCACTTTGGGAGGCCGAGGCGGGTGGATCACTGGAGGTCAGGAGTTCGAAACCAACCTGGCTGATATGGTGAAACTCCAACTCTGCTAAAAATCCAAAAAGATTAGCTGGGTGTGGTGTCAGGCACCTGTAATCCCAGCTACTTGGGAGGCTGAGGCAGGATAATGGGTTGAAACCAGGAGGTGGAGGTTGCAGTGAGCTGAGATCTCACCACTGAGCTGCAGCCTGGGAGAAAGAGTAAGTGAGACTCCATTTCAAAAAAAAAAAGGGAGGGGCATAAATTGTCTAGTACACCTCACAGGGCTGCTTGGATCATAGGGTCAGTTACCTGGTGGGTGCTGGTTAGCATTCTTTCAATTGAGTAGAATTGAAGATATAAAACAGAGTTTGGACAGCAAGGAGGCCTCCAAAAGTCCTTCTGCCCATGGCAGTGAGGACATCTGTTCCTGGATCATCCTTCCCTACCCGCTAAAAGCAGAACTTACTGCAGTTACTTTATTCCTCCAGCCAGAACCCGAGTGGGACAGGTGCGGGCCACTGATAAAGACCTCCCCCAGAGCAGCCTCGTGTACTCCATCTCCACCGGAGGGGCCAGCCTCCAGTACCCGAACGTATTTTGGATTAATCCCAAGACAGGAGAACTCCAGCTGGTAACTAAAGTGGACTACGAAACAACCCCCGTGTATATTCTCAGAATCCAGGCCACCAACAGCGAGGACACAAGCTCCGTCACTGTGAGTAGGGCTGCTTGGTATAGCCCCACTAACCCAACTGGTTGACCTCCGGTCTCTCTGGCACCCCCAGAGTGTGGATGCGACAGTGAGGAAAATTCCCAGGGAACATCCTGTGAAGGTGGTCGGAAACAAACAAAGGTGCCCTGGGAAATAACGATCCACGTTTTTCTTTTGTTTTTTTTTTTTTTTTGAGACAGAGTCTCGCTCTGTTGCCCAGGCTGGAGTACGGTGGTGTAATCTTGGCCCATTGCAACTTCTCCCTCCTGGGCTGGGTTTAAGTGATTCTTCTGCCTCAGGCTCCCAAGTAGCTGGGATTACAAGTGTTGGCCACCTTGCCCAGTTAATTTTTGTAGTTTTAGTAGAGATGGGTTTCACCATGTTGGCCAGGCTGGTCTCGAACTCCTGACCTCAAGTAAGCTACCTGCCTCGGTCTCTCAAAGTGCTAGGATTTATAGGCATGAACCACTGTGCCCAACCCCACATATTTTTGAGGCCTAAGTTTGTGGGTAACAGAAAAAAATACTGAAATTGGTGGCCAGATACTGGAATATCTGGTTGACCCATAAAGCCACTTTGTGGGACGAAGTTCCTCTTGTGGTCCTTTAAATCCCACTTTGCCTTCACTGAATGATGGTGATGAAATTTGCACTGCCCAGACGCTGAGTGTGATTTTGGAGTTATGTGTTTCCTCCCCAGGAGCAGTTATGCCGTGTTCCTACCCTGCCCCCACACACAGCAGATGGGGTAGATCTTAAAACCGTTGCTGAGCTGCTAGCTGCTTCCCAACCTTTGATGCTGAGACTCTTGTTATATGCAGACTTGGAGTCAGTGCGTCAGGGGCCTGAGATTCTGCATTTCTGCCATGCTTCCAACTGGGGCAGTGCTGCTGGTTCCCTGCCACACCTCGAGTTGCAAGAGTCTAATAGGTCCGTGTTGTCAGTGGTTTGGATGATCCGAGGGCAACATGACAGCCACAAAGACCAAACTATTCCCTGGTCCTTCCCATTAGTAAAGTAACAAAGCATGAAGGCAAAATGAACTCTCAGCACCAGGCAGCCATCGACAAAGATTGGTTCAGAGTCAGGAGACCGAGTTCATTTCTCAGCTTTGATCCCAGTTTTCTGAGGGAGTCTGAGCAATGCTTATCTCTGTGTCCCTATTTCTCCATCTCTTAAATGAAGAGTCACCCGATAACCCAATGCCTGAACAGTCTGGCTCCTCCAATGGCTTGCTCTGAATTAATGGGATGATGCTTTTAATGATGTGCAAGAGTTGGCATTGCTACCCAAGGAAAGTTGGAGATAATTGCAGGGTTTGTTAGGCTGGTTTTATTTTTATTTTTTTTTTTTTTTTGAGAAAAATGAATGGACTTCACTTTGGGAGCTAAGTAGAGTGAACATTTCAATTTATTCCCAGGCTCAGAAATAGCTGAAATCCCAAATTTCAGAGGTAGCATGAATATGACTCAAAATTCCTAAGCTTTTAAAAAAGGGTGGTGAACTCAATGACCACGCAAGTCCCTTTCGGGGCTGACATTGTACGACTCTGTGCTGGCCGGCATCCCAGGCCATATTCCCATTCGCCAGGCATAAAAGACAGCTACGAAAGAGAATAGAATGGCCCCTGCTTGTGGCAGGTTAGCCCTAGGGCTTAGTACAGTGCTAACAGCCGAGGTTACAGATGAGATCCCAGTTTAACCAGGCCTGCTTGTTCTGTCCCAGTGGGTCTTAGCCCTGGCTGCATGTTGGAATCAGCTGGGGAACATACATGAAGGCCCTGGGCCCCATCCTCCAGAGAGTCCGATCTATTTAATCTGAAGTGGGCCCAAGCAAGCAGAGCCAGGCTTGAGAACCATTTCTGTGTATGCCGGAGTTAAAGAACTTCCATTTACAGGCCAGGCGCGGTGGCTCACACCTGTAATCCTAGCACTTTGGGAGGCCCAGGGGGTTTGGATCACGAGGTCAGGTGTTCGAGACCAGCCTTGCTAACATCGTGAAACCCCATCTCTACTAAAAATACAAAAAAAATTAATCAGGCATGGTGGCGGGCACCCATAATCCCAGCTACTCGGGAGGCAGAGGTTGCAGTGAGCTGAGATTTTACCATAGCACCACTCCAGCCCGGGCGTGACAGTACGAGACTCTGTCTCAAAAAAAAAACAAAAAACAAAAAAAAAAACAACAAAAAAAAACAACTTCCAATTCACAAGCAGCAGTAGGCAAGGAAGCCCATGGAGTCACCGTAAACTCGCACCTTCCTGGAAAAACAATTCAGTATCATCTGCCAGTGAGCCTATGTGTCCAGGTGCATGCGTGTGTGTGTGGAGGGCGAGGTATATGTATACATGTTCACACACACATGCACACAGTGTAGGATATAATAACATAGGATTTGGAGTAGGACAGACCTGAGTTCAAGTCCCAGCTCTGCCATTCACTAGCTGAGTGATCTTAGGTCAATTACCTAGTCTCTCTCAACCTCAATTTTCACATCCATAAAATGGGAATAATCATGTCATCTATCTCATGTGAGTTTAAATGATCTAATCTAGGAAAAGTGCGTAGCCTGAAAACTGCCTACACGCAGTAAGCACGCAACGAGTTTTAGCTGTTGAGAATGACCACCTACCTTCTTGCTGCTCTAGGTTACTGTGAACATCCTTGAAGAAAATGATGAAAAGCCAATTTGTACTCCAAACTCTTATTTCCTGGCCCTCCCAGTGGATCTGAAAGTTGGGACAAATATTCAGAATTTCAAGCTGACGTGTACTGACCTTGATTCCAGCCCCAGATCTTTCCGTTACTCCATTGATGCAGGTATAGCACTCGGTGTTGATGACCCTGGCCCTGTCTCTGAGGACCCTGAAGTTGTCCAGGGTCGGTGGGGGGGGGGGGTGGTCTGTGCTCACACACTGATCTGGGCAAAGTGGGATGGGAGTGGGGAAGGCATTATTTTTTTGAGATGGGGTCTCACTATGTTGCCCAGGCTAGTCCTGAACTCCCGGGCTCAAGTAATCCTGCTCAGCCTCCCGAGTAGCTGGGACTACCAGTGTGCATCACTGCACCCAGCGTGCTGGGGAAGTATTTGAATGAGGAAAGCAGAGATACAGAGTCTAGCGGCCCCTATGCTTCCTAGTGCTCCTCTCGGCTTCCCTTTCTCTCCTCACTCCTACAGACCCCCATACGCAACTGCCCAAAGGCCCAAGAAATGGGTGAACCCCACCCCCCGATTCCTGACTACAGTATGAGTTATAAAGCATATTAGTGTCATTAGAAAAAATTCAGTCCAACTTTTCGACCACCTCTTTTCCTGTAAGCTTGTAGTGGGGGCAGGGAATCCCAGTCCTCTCTCTGGATAATAATAGATTAAATAGATTAAGTGCGTTTTGAAATGTGTCCTCAGGAATTCTCTTCTGCTCCATTCATCTTCTCTCTTTAAAAATATACCATTGCAGGGAAAAAAGAGCACCCCTCAATGGAAATTAGACCAAAATAGCTCATCTAATGAAGTGCTGGGGCCAGAGATTTAAACCCAAACAAGCAGAACAATTCCACGTGAGAGTAAAAACCCATCCTGCTGCCTGCTGTGCCCTTGGCGGAGCAGGAACTCGAACAGTAGGAAGCCTCTCGAGCTGGCTGTGTCACAAAACCCAGGGGCAGAAACTGCCTCGAGACTGCACTTGCCGAAGATGGAAATAATCCATACCGAGAGCCCTAAGGCCTTTATGGAGCATTTTGCTGCTAAGGGAACAAAAATTGCATCATCTCCTGCTCCATTTACTGGTGTTCAGTCGGTAATGAGTCTGGAGCCAGTGGAGGAATGAGCAGGCGTGTGCTTGGGCTGACAGCCTCTCTGCCCCAGGTTCCCTGAGCTGAGAGTCATGAGCCCCAGCAGAGCTGCGTGTGTGTGTTTGGGGGTGTGATGGGGTAGGTTCAGGAAGACCTGGGGCTGCAATTCCTGCAAAGCCAGAAGGCACCTTCCTTCGGGGGACTCCAGGGACATCCATAACCAGTGTGACCCACCGGGTCCTGTGAAAAGCATGCAGTGAACTTGGTCCATGGCTAGGGATGTGACCTATTCCACCCTCTTGATGCCCACTCATTTGCCTCAGTGTGAATTACACATGTTGTTACCAAATAATTGCTGGATGATAAATCAGAAGGGGCTGCAGCAGAGTTAAAAAGTCTCTGCTTAATACTCAGCAAGATGGTACTAGGCTAAGGGTGTTGTCTTATTGTCCTTTTCTACTCAGCCTGGTTTGCAGCCACGCTGGTGGTGAGCAAGGGTTTCTTTGTACTAATGCCATCTCTGGTGTAGTTAAAGCCTATAGCATATAATTAATCCAGCTCTGGTATATCAGAGATATAGTCTACACCTGAGGTGTGGAAATTTGAGAAAATGATTGAATGCAGTTTTCTTCTAAACCTTTATTCCTTACTCTCTTTGCTTCTTTTTACCAACACCCCTGCATCAAATCTCATTAGGCAACGTCAACAATCATTTCACCTTCTCTCCCAATGCTGGCTCCAACGTCACACGCCTGCTGCTGACGTCTCGCTTTGACTATGCTGGTGGGCTTGATAAGATCTGGGACTACAAGCTACTTGTCTACATAACTGATGACAACTTGCTGTCCGGCAGGAAGAAAGCTGAGGCTCTCGTTGAGACAGGAACGGTGACCCTGAGTATTAAAGTCATTCCGCGCCCAACCACGGTCATCACCACAACCCCCAGGGTAAGGGCTTTAGGACCTGGAATCCCCAGCCATGTTCCTTTGTGTGTCACATTGATGGACTTCTTTCCCCCCTGGAGCTACGTGGGGTGGACTGAAAAGAGTTAAGATATTACGATGTTGCCGAAAATGGCAGCCGTGGGCTGGGCGGGAGTAGCTACAGGGTGGCAAAAATCTGGTGAGACTTCAGACTCATAAAACCACTCGCTTTTCCTGTTCTGGTAGAGAAGGGTGCGTGTTTGTGCAGAGACCTGTGAGAGGTCTGTGTGGCTCGTGGCACAGGAGCTGATTTTCATGGGCCTGCTGCCAGTTGCTACTTTCACAACCCCACTCTGCTTGTTCAGATGAGTCTTTGCAAGTCTATGTCCATGAAATTAGATTACTTGCTGCTGGGTGCTCTTTTCCACAGCTTTTGAAGAGTCTCACGTGCCAATCTGTGCCCTACACCCCACCTCCACTCCAAAAAACAATTCCTCCAATCTACAAATATTGATTTAATGCCTATAGTGTGCCAGTCACTTTAGCAAACAAGTCAAAAATGATCCCTGCTCTCTGGAAGATGATGGTATAGGCCAATGGTTCTCCAAGTGCCATCCCTAGACCAGCAGAATCAGCACCACTTGGAAACTGGTGGGAAATGCAAATTCTCAGGCCCACCCTAGATTATTAAAGTTATAGGTCACCCAACCATGATCATCAGCATGACCTCCAGGGGAGGATGCTGGAACCTGGAATCCCCAACTCTATCCCCTAACCTAATGGGTCAGAAACTCTGGAGGTGGGACCCAGTGAGCTGTGTTTTTAATCAGCCTTTCAGGGAATTTTGATGTGCATTAAACTTTGAGAGCCACTGATCTGGAGGGGGAGATAGATTACAAACAAGTATTCAGACTGACAAAGTAAACACAGATTGTGGGAAAGCATGGGAAGAAAATGACGAGGTGCTATCACAGAATCGGTCTGGAGAGGGAAGGGAGAGCCTGGAATCTGACAACAGGATTATCTCCCCTCCCCGCTGGAGGAACGGCTTGCTGACTCATCTGCCCCTCCCCTCCCCCTCCCCCTCCCCTCCCTCTCCCCTCCCCTCCCCTCCCCTCCTGACTCATCTGCCCCTCCCCCTCCCCTCCCCCTTCTACTCCCCCTCCCCCTCCTCTCCCCCTTCTACTCCCCCTCCCCCTTCCCCTCCTCTAGAAGTTGCACCCCTGGTCAGCAGCCCTCATACCTGCAGCATGCCAGAAGGAAAGTAATCAGAACCTTAGAGAACCCCCTATGGAGGTGGCCAGCTGCTTCTCAGAGTTTATTCCAGGAGCTGGTTCATGCCTCTGTCTCCTGTGCTCGAGTCAGTAGAACCCCAGTGAATGGAGGCACCAGCAACCCTAAGGACTTCCCTTGTGGGAGGAGCTGGTAGGCTCCCCCTCAGTGAAGAGTTCCCACCTTTCTTGGGTTCAGAGCCTGACCCGATGGTGACATCTCCAATCCTGAAACCTCTGTCACTTGTTTGGTATCTGTCTCCAGCTCTAGGAAACAGATGCTGAACTTGAGGCTTCACTGTGCTGTCAGCTCACTCCTCTGGCAGTGGCAGCTTGTAGTTGAGAAAACCCTGAAAAGCATACAAGGTGTCAAGAAAAAAAAAAAAAAAAAAAAAAAAAAGGCTTACGTGGCTTATTCCTTCTTGGTGAGAGACAATGGCTATATTCGTCCCTGGGTTATGCCCAGATATGGCAGAAAAAAAAGGCAATGGACTTTTTTTTAGTTTTGGGGAAGGGGAAGACAGAGAATAAAATTAGGCCTGGAGTTGCTTTTCAGTTCCCTAAAATTTCTGGGTTTGATCTAATGGACGTCTGCAAAGCCTATAAATAAGGTGATGTGTTGAAGCAGCAAGAACTGAGAGCACGCAGATGTCCAATTTATACAGCAAGAACAACGAGCGGGGTAAACACTCAGCGAGGAGCGCTGAACGGCCAGATTGCTGCGGCCTCCGCTCACCCTCCCTGCTCTCTGCTGTTCAAGCCCAGGGTCACCTACCAGGTCCTGAGGAAAAACGTTTACTCTCCGTCCGCGTGGTACGTGCCTTTTGTCATCACTTTGGGCTCCATATTGCTTCTGGGTCTCCTGGTGTACCTGGTCATCCTGTTGGCCAAAGCCATCCACAGACACTGCCCCGGCAAGACTGGGAAGAACAAGAAAGCTCTGTAAGTTGCCAGTGGGCTGGGCCCTCTTCCCCACCTCCTTTAGCACACGGTTTCTGGTGATGTCTGGAGCAGGAAAGATGGAGAATCAGGATTTCTCTACCAGGCGGGTTGCCTGGAGTGAAGGCAGGCAAAGGAGCTATGGGGGAGGGATTCCAGCTCCTCGAGGTCCTGGTGCACCCTCTTTGTCACCTGCTGGGCCAGGAAACCATCCTGTTGGCTTTCCCTGGCCACCTACTCTGTCCGTGATGGGCTCTCGATGAGACGGGGGCATCAACCTTCTGATGACCTTGCCCTGGATAAAACCTTCAGAAAAGCCCTGTTGTGAATAGTGATAGAATATGCTGTGTCCTTATTTGTAGAATAGTTAAAGGATAGTATGGAATTAAAGCAAGCACGAAAAACCAATAAGGGAATTAGGCTTTTGTCTCCAATGACTCAGCGGGGTTTTTGTGTGACTAAATAATTCTTGGTGCTTTGCATGTGTTCCCAGTCTCTCGTAAGGGTTGTAAATGCAGGCCGTTGTCTCTCTTTCCAATTTTCACCTGCTCACTAATATACCCTTAGTGTGCCAATCTGTGACGTGTGTTTTACTGGCTACAAGTGAGGTCGTAGAGCCACGTGAAGAGTGCAACCAAAGAATCACAGACTTCTCCCAGAGCCAGGCCTCTTGATTCTTGGCAGCTCTTACAACTTACGGCTTAGACGGTTCTGAGCCTGAGATTGGGAGTTAGATGCGGCCTGGGCTCAAGTCTTAGCTCTACCATTTTCTTGGAATATGGCTTTGAGCCAGTCACCACCTCTGTGAGCTTGAATTTTCTTATTTGTAAACTTAATCAACTAAATGAGCAAATGCAAACAAAGCCCTCGGCTGCGTTCCTGATATAGGGTGAATGCTTCGTACATTACCCAGTCATTTTTAAAAACCTTGTTTCCTTATTCTTCACAGTTGAGTCCCAGTGAGTTCAGGATTCTAGATTCTAAGTTGAGCGCTATGCCCAAATGTCTTGAGGTGTTGGAACCTCTGAGTTCTAGGATCTCTCCATGGCAAAAAGAGGGGGTGATAAGACGTGTGCCTTCTAAAGGTATTTTAAATATTAACTATTAACTGTCAATTTAAAATCTATGGATGAAAGACTATAAAAGTACAAGGCATTAGCATAAAGATACGAATTGCATTTTGCCATATTTATTACATAAGTTTGTTGCTATTGGCAACCTTGACTTCAAGGTAAGAAATCCTCGAGCATCTGCTGAAATTAAAGAAGGCATTTTTGTTTGAACTCTATTCACAAATTGATTAAAAAAAAAAAACAGCTCTAAAAGAGTAATTGCTTGTAAGGATGGTGGTGTACTGTAATGGGATTTGGAGAGAAGTTCTTGAAGGAACTAATCCAATAGACACCAATTCTCATGTAATTTATGGCTAAATGTTAAATGTTCACCTTGAAACTGGTTCTTTTAACTTACGTTGTAAATATTGTTTTCAACATGGTTGACTTAAAAAAAAAAAAAACTAGCTAGAAAATCAGATTCAGACTCAGCCTCTCTGGAAATTAGTTGTACCATATGACAGCCAGCCTTTGTTAAGTAGCAAAGAAGAAAATTAGAGTATAGAGCTATAGAATCCAAGGTGATCATGGGAAAGGTCGTAGGGTCCAAGCCCAGCTCTTCATGTGACAGGAAACCAAAATGTAACTGCCAGCTCTCAAACCTCCCTGCTGTGAGCCAAGCCTTCTGCTTTGCTGGCTCTTGGGGAGAAAGGGATAGGGCAGGGAGACTTGCTGGGCAGTCTGACTGGGGCAGCCATGTCCTCACCAGGTGTTCTCATCAGAGACAATGTACTCCCTGAAGTTTATAAGGTGATACTTTTTAACTCATCAGCTTCCCAGAACCTCCCTAGTCCAAAGTGATGAAGCTGCTTTCTTTGAAGCAGGGATGGTGTTCGAGCCTTCTTTCTGGCCCCTATCCCTGGCCTCTCTTTCAGTCAACCCCCGTATCTCAAAGGGCAGAGATTGCCCAAAGAACCCCATGGTGTCATTTGTGCACCAGTGCAGCATACTTCCAGGTGAATTAATATCCATTCTTTTCTTCCCCCCATAGGACGAAGAAAGGAGGTATGTACACTACCCGTTTCCTTTATCTGTTGTTTTTTGCTTGCTCTGTTGTGCTACATAAAAAGACATCTGCTAGGCAGAGAATCAGGCTTCGATCACGTCTAGAGTGTTTTCGGCTGCATCTTCCATGGATGGGAGGAAACAGAAGTCTGATGCGGCTGGAGAAGGGCACAGGGCCTTGGCCTGCCTGGGTCTCTCACCTTGGTCCCCTGCCTGTGCCTTACCCAGAGCCCTCTCCAATCAGCTCAGCTTCCTGTCCCTCGCCACATGGCACAGGAAGAAAGAACTCTCCACGTGTTACATGTAGACAGGACCTGCTTACTGCTGCCCACAAGGGGTGTCCTGAGGACAGCCAATGCTTTGCGCTGGACACAGGCCTCTTTTGAAAGAGTAGATAATACTTGATTCTCACATTCTAACGGATTTGATCATTTCCACAAATTATTTAGGCTAGACTAGTGAGAAGGGGGAGATGGGAGCAGTCAGGTGGGCCAAGGGAGCTGAATGACTTCAGGGAAGTGGGCAGATTGGGAAGGTCCATTTGAGTAGCTCCAGGCCTGAGAAGGTGTCCTGGCCTGGCCTCAGGTAGACTCCAGGGTATTGGGGGAGGCAGGACAAAGAAATGGGAAGTGTTTTTATTTAAAAAAAAAAAAAAAAAAAAAAAACAGAAAAAAAAACGCTTGCTTTAAACACTCCACAGGCATGTGTCTGACATGCTTACGGCATGTCTAAACAAGGTTAGAAATTTGATTATAATGGCTATTGATCATATTGAAAGAGATGATTTTGTGAGGTTTTCACAAACTGCCTCTAATTCCACTTGTTAAAAGGGACTGGGGGCTGGGCATGATGGCTCACACATATAATCCCAGCACTCTGGGAGGCCAAGGCTAGAGGATCACTTGAACCCAGAAGTTTGAGACCAGCCTGGAGAACAGAGTGAAACCCTGTCTGTAGAAAAAAAATTTAAAAATTAGCTGGGTTGCTGGGTACAGTGGCTCACATCTGTAATCCCAGCACTTTGGGAGGCAGAGGTGGGCAGGTCACCTGAGGTCAGGTGTTAGAGACCAGCCTAACCAACATGGTGAAACCCCATCTCTACTAAAAATACAAAATTAGCTGGTAGTGGTGGCTGTGCATGCCTGTAGTCCCAGCTACTCAGGCGGCCGAGGCAGAAGTATGGCTTGGACCTGGGAGGTGGAGGTTACGGTAAGCTGAGATTGCCCCATTGCACTCCAGCCTGGGCAATAAGAACCAAACTCCATCTCAAAAAAAAAAAAAAAAAAAATTAGCTGGGTATGGTAGTGTATGCCTGTACTCTTAGCTACTGGGGAGGTAGCTGAGGGCATCAGTTGAGCTTGGGAGGTCAAGCCTGCAGCAAATTGTGATTGTGCTACTGTACTCCAGCCTGGGCAACAAGAATGAGACCTTGTCTCAAAATAAAATACAATTTAAAGGGCATGGGGAATAAATGCACAAAATCTTTGCCTTATGAACAGAGATATCCAATGTGATCTTTCTTTCTTAGCCATTTAAAAGCGAGTTTTCTAGGTCCACTGATTATAAGCTAGAAAAAGAGTAAAAAATATTAAATCGTGTGTGTATTACTGTGTGTGTATACATATGTATATGTATTTGTTTCTGAGAAGATGGAAAGCTGTCAACAAACACATCTACAGACAGAACAATTCTTTGCTGTGTCTGCAAGACTGAGATCAAAGCATTCCCTAAGTAGTAGGGAAATACCATTGTGGGAGTAGAATTTTAAGGTCAATTTAATGCCCAAGAAGCTTAACTTCTGCCTGTTCTGTTCTCTGCAGAAATGAAGACTGCAAAGAGAGAGGTGGTGGTGGTGAGTATGGACTGCGAGGGGCACCTGGCATAGATGCTGGGGGATGGGACACCCATCTCCCCGGAAGGCAGGCCTGCCACAGCCTCGTGGTCATGTTTATCATTCAGGGAGGTGCTTGCATTTGGCCGCTGGAACAGATTGCTGTGTGACGAGCTTCTGATAGAATTCGTTCCCTCCACTGAACATGCCTGCTGATATATTTGCAGAAGAACTAGAGATTTCATAAATATTGAGTAGTGGTGTTTATTATCTATACCAGCTCTCTAGGAGAGTGAGTTGGGGGAATGAAGCTGAAAGACCAAAGCCAGTGCTTCAGCCTCCAATGAGATTTAAATATTTCCTTTTTTCTTTTTTTTTTTTGAGACACAGTTTTATGCTGTCGCTCAGGCTGGAGTGCAGTGGTGCGATCTCAGCTCACTACTACCTCTGTCTCCCAGGTTCAAGTGATTCTCATGCCTTACCGTCCCAAGTGTCTGGGGTTACAGGCACGTGCCACTACTCCCAGCTAATTTTTTGTATTATTAGTAGAGATGGGGTTTCACCATGTTGGCCCGGCTGGTCTTGAACTCCCCACCTCAAGTGATCCAGCCACCTCAGCCTCCCAAAGTACTAGGATTACAGGCATGAGCCACTGTGCCTGGCTGATTTAAATTTTCTTTCCTCTTCCACCACCTTGCAGAAAAGTAACTGAGAAAGGGCCCTGTCTGGTCTGGGCTTGGCTCTGGCCACTTAGCCTTATCACCTTCCTTGGCCTCTCTGAGATTTAGATTCCTCACCTGTAAAATGGGGGTGAGGACACCCGCACTGAGATAACAGATGGAGAAATAGTTTGAAAATTGTTAAGTGTCACACAAATGCAAAATGTTACAGGGTAGCTGAAAAGTTGTCCCTCCTCTACCTCGCGCTCTCTTTTTTTTTTTTTTTTCGAGACGGAGTTTCACTGTTGTAGACAAGGCTGGAGTGCAATGGCACAATCTCAGCTCACTGCAACCCCCGCCTCCATGGTTCAAGCGATTCTCCTGCCTCAGCCTCCCAAGTAGCTGGGATTATAGGCACGCACCACTACGCCCAGCTAATTTTGTATTTTTCGTAGAGACGGGGTTTCACCACATTGGTCTCCAACTCCTGACCTCGGGTGATCCACCCACCTCGGCCTCGCAAAGTGCTGGGATTACAGGCGTGAGCCACCTCACCTGGCCCGAGGATCCTTTAAGTGATAAAAACTGGGGATTAGAAAGTTTGCTGAACTCCAAACACAATCCTTGTTACTGTGTTAATGACTCTGACTTTGGCACCTCTAGAGGGCAGTATGAGAGGGAAGCGGGTATGTCTGTGGGGACAAGGGACAGGTGCATTACAGAGATTTGGAGGGTGCCACTGAGGACAGATCAGGGAATAGAAAAGACACGGAGCCCAGGACTTAGATGAGACCTTGCATTGGCCTAGGCAGCAGGAGGCCACAGGGGAGGGCCGGAGTGCCAGGGCCACAGGTATGGACACCTAGGAGCTCACCTGTGTCCACCTTGACAATACACGACAGTGATCCACTGACACAACATAGGTCTTAGCTGTGCTGTGTGGCATCTTCACTCTTCCTTCTATGCTCAGATTTGATTTACTCAGGCTGCTTCCTTAACCCCCAAGTTTGGTTTCAATGTCGCCTCTACCCTCCCTGTGCCCTGTTACACCCTACATCTCCCCATCATAGTCTTACCACTCTGCATCGCAGCGCCTGTTTGTAGTTGGCAAGCTTTGTACAGGCAGTAGCCATGCCTGCCTTGTTCACTGCTGTGTCCTCACCATGTAGCACAGTGCCTGTTAAAGACATAGAACTGGCCAGGGGCGGCGGCTCACACCTGCAATCCTAGCACTTCGGGAGGCCGAGACAGGTGGATCCCTTGAGGCCAGGAGTTTGAGAACAGCCTGGCCAACATGGCGAAACCCTGTCTCTACTAAAAAAAAAAAAAAAAAAAAAAAAAAAAAAAGCTGGACGTGGTGGCAGGTGCCTGTAATCTCAGCTACCTGGGAGGCTGAGGCAGGAGAATCATTTGAACCCGGGAGGCAGAGGTTGCAGTGAGCTGAGATTGTGCCATTGCACTCCAGCCTGGGCAACAAGAATGAAACTCCAACTCAAAAAAAACAAAAAAGACATAGAAGTCAAGAAGGCTTTGGGTAAGACAGGTGGGTTGTGAGGATACGTGGCCTTGCCAGGGGGAAGGAATGAAGGTTGCGTTCCATGCCATCTCTATCTTCTCCTTAGGAAACTATCCAGATGAACACTGTCTTTGATGGAGAAGCCACAGATCCAGGTAATTAAGAGGCAATACCACCGTGTGAATGCTTGTCATATTCCAGACTGGTAGAAGCATGGAGGACCTTACCCATCCTGCTTTTAACTCATTTTGTCAATCTGTTTGGCTATGTTGTCTTTCCAGTGCTGACCCGTTTAGGCTAAATACAACGTGAGATCAGCTGTGAACCCAGCTGGCTTGCAGCCGCTCAAGTACAGATCACGCTGACGTGGAGCCTCGGCGGGCCTCCACCGAAAGGCTCACATTGAAGGGCCGTGCCTCTTTCTCGCCTCCCTTCCTGAACTCTGAACCAGTTGAGGGAACTGGTGAATCCAGGAATCCACATTTTTTTCCTGCTCTTTGGTACTCACTGCAGCCCCTTCCAACCACATTCTTTCTGCATGCTTCTAATAGCGTTTTATCAGTAGTGGAAGATACAGAGAAATGGCAAGTGTTAGCTTCTTTTTCCCTTAGTTCAGGGTCAGCAACATGAGCATAAGGTAGAGCAGGCTTCTGGAGCTCTCATCAGCCCCTGAAATCAGCTCCAAATTTAGCTCCTTTACACTCACCCCTCCGCTTACAAAGGCTCAATTATAGACGTGAATAAAGGGAAGGAAACCAAATTCAGGAGGCAAGTGTGTTGGCTTCCTGCCACCTTCACATGCAAACGGCACCGGATCTCCTAAGGAGGATGGCTCCTCTCCAGGAAGAGTCTGCCGCCGCGCCGCCGCTGCTGCTGCTGGAATTAAATTTCCCTCTATTATTAGGTGCTTGTTACCATAATGTGCCCACATTAGCTTAAGTGCTGGTGGGATCCTGAGCTGAGAGGCCACTCATGCTGTATGGGAATGGCAAGGACCAAGGGCTTGCCTTAAACCTGATCTCCCTGAGCAAGAGGCTGGAGAGGATTTTTGTGTTTATGTGTAGTTGAGACAGAAAAAAAAAAAAAAATGAAAGACATGAGCCAACTGGCCTAAATCAATTAGTGTCTGCTGGCTCGTCACAATAAAAATGGCTTCCTTGCATCATCTCAAGTGGGGCCAGATTTGTGTGTGTGTGTCTACAAATTGCTGCTAACCTAACGTAAATAAAAATCAGCCTTTTCCTTCTCACTTGATGAATTCCTTTTTGTAGCAGGAATTCAGGGGTCTTTTAAAACAAACAAATCAGAAAGTAATGGGTAATTCCATTAGACACTGAACCTGATTTATCCGAAGCTTGCACGGAGTTCAAGATTTCCATGGCCTTCTCATCCTGCAGTTGAGATGTCCTTGAGACACTCCTGAACCCTTCTATCCAGAGAGGTTTGCTGTTTGCTGCCTGTGTGGTCGGGGCGGCACGGCTTGTGGGCAAGGGCAGGCTGGTGAAGACTGCGGTGCTATTCAGCCGCCTGCTGTCTGTGTCAGCGATTTACATCTTCTAGTATGCTTTATCTTCCCTCGGGAGTCAGAACAGAGCAGGGTACAAGTCGGGGAAGAGACAGTCATTGGAATTTTCTGGTTTATGTGATTGTTATATTTTTTTTCTTCACTAGTGACTGGGAAAATATATGAATTCGATTCAAAAACTGGAGCCAGAAAGTGGAAAGATCCACGAACCCAAATGCCAAAAAGGAAAGAGTCCGGCCCCCAGGGAGCTGCCCCATGCAGAGTTGCTGCTGGGGAAGGGATGAGGCCACTGAGAAGTGCCAGCCGGAAAGAAGATGAACTGAGTGGCAACACACGGGCTGAGGATGCCAGCCTGACTTCCAGAAACAAGAGTGGCAAGCCGGGCACCCCAAAGAACAGAAACCCAGCCTTCATGAACAGTGCTTCCCCCAAACCACACCCAAGAAAGTAAATGGGGTCTAGGGAGGAGCCTGTCAATCACTGGGATGCTGCCTCACCCTAACTTCTACGGGGACAGTGTGGGCATGGAATAGGTGAAAACATGTGGGCTGAGGGGATTCAGACATCCGGGGTCAAACCTGGGATGTTTGACAAAGTTTTAAACAAATAGAAAGGGGTAATCCCAGCACTTTGGGAGGCCGAGGCGGGTGGATCATGAGGTCAAGAGATCGAGTCCATCCTGGTCAATATGGTGAAACCCCGTCTCTACTAAAAATACAAAAAAAAAAAAAAATTAGCTGGGCATGGTGGCGCGTGCCTGTAATCCCAGCTACTCAGGAGGCTGAGGCAGGAGAATTGCCTGAACCCAGGAGGCAGAGGTTGCGGTGAGCCGAGATCGGGCCATTACACTCCAGCCTGGGTAACAAGAGCGAAACTCTGTCTCAAAAAAAAAAAAAAAAAAGAAAAAAGAAAAAAAAGAAAACAAATAGAAAGGAGGTTGATCACATAGTTGCCTGTTCTGAAATGATACAGGAAAAGTTTCTATCAGATCTCAAAACTACCTGTGCTTCTGATCAGCAGGACTGTTAACTTCGGGGTGTGGAATTGTTGTGTTTCTTCTTTGCACTGACTGCTAGGAAGCTCTGTTTGGTTCACCACAGGAAGTTCACAGGACTTCCTGACATAAACAGTGAAGATCATCCTCACATCTGGTTTCCAACTTTTTTTTTTTTTTTTTTTGAGACGGAGTTTCGCTCTTGTTACCCAGGCTGGAGTGCAATGGCCCGATCTCGGCTCACCACAACCTCCGCCTCCTGGGTTCAGGCAATTCTCCTGCCTCAGCCTCCTGAGTAGCTGGGATTACAGGCACGCGCCACCATGCCCAGCTAATTTTTTTTGTATTTTTAGTAGAGATGGGGTTTCACCATGTTGACCAGGATGATCTCGATCTCTTGACCTCGTGATCCACCCTCCTCGGTCTCCCAAAGTGCTGGGATTACAGGCTTGAGCCACCGCACCCGGCAAATGTTTTGCTTTTAAAAAAATGAACTTAAAAGTGAACTACAGGCCAGGCATGGTGGCTCACACCTGTATTCCCAGCACTTTGGGAGGCCAAGGTGGGTGGATCACCTGAGGTCAGGAGTTCAAGACCAGCCTGACCTATATGGCAAAACCTCCTCTCTACTAAAAAATCTGAAAATTAGCTGGGTGTGATGGTGGGCACCTATAATCCTAGCTACTTGGGAAGCCGAGGCAGGGAGAATTGCTTGAACGCAAGAAGCAGAGGTTGCAGTGAGTTGAGATCATGCCACTGCCCTCTAGCCTGGGTGACAGAGCAAGATTCCATCTCAAAAAAAAAAAAAAAAGTGAATTACAACACTATGAACTTTCTTGTACATGTCTTTTGGTGAACATAAACACTCACGTTTTTGCTCATATACCTGTGAGTGGGATTGTTGGAGCAATTGCTGGATGCTGTCAAAGAGTTCCGAAGTGGTGGCTCTGATTCCCACTCCAGCAGCAAACCCTGAGCGTTGCAGCTGCTCTGTATCCTTGCCAACACTTGGGATTGTCAGTCCTTTCAATTTTATCCATTCTAGTTAGACTTAGTATTGAAGTGAAATCACTTTTTCCTCAAAGCTGAAGCATCACCAGCCTTACAACCAACCCGTCTTGCTCCCTCCCTTTCCTGTGACTGGAAGGAACCACAGGACTCTGTGTGGGACATACTGGAAGCTCCGTCTAGACACACAACTCAGACTTCCACCTGCAGGCATGAGCAATGAACTGGGAATAAATGGTATTATGGTGGAATAGGAAGTGAAACTTTCCAATGTGTGCCTAGCAGAGCCTGAGCCAGCCTTACTTGAGCTCAATGCCCTGCTGCCCAGCTGCTGTGACCCTAGTCCAGTAACCCCAAGAAAGGTCCAGGTGAGCGCTCATTAGGGCAGCACTCCCTTCCCAATTGTGGGGAGTCAGGTGAGAGCCTACCAGGCCCCCAAGGGACTGTGGGAGACAGACGGGATCCATCCGGCAAAGGCAGAGCTTCAGAGAGAGAAGCAGCTTGTTTACTGTGTGCCTAGGGCCAGTGTCCCTTCTCAAGCAAAAGAAGCATTTGCAAAATGCCCTGTCCTGGCCTAGATTGGGCTTGATTTATTAATAAGGGCTGGTTGCCAGGGAACTCCCTTGAATGGATTTAAAGTTTGTGAGAGAAGGCTGAACTGTTCGTTTACGCAGGTTAAAGCGAGTGAAGTGGCTGATTGCCTATTTAAGACATTGCAAATCTGTGGGGCTTGGAGTCAAATACTTTCCTCAGAAGCTCTCAGCTTCAATGCAAGTAAAATGAGGCTTTGAGAAGGCTGAAGGGGGACTTAATATAGCTGTTTAGAAGTGCATTAAGAATGATTAAAAGGGCCTGGCTAGGTGGCTCAGGTCTGTAATCCCCACACTTCGGGTGGCTGAGTCAGGGGGATCACCTGAGGTCAGGAGTTCAAGACCAGCCTGGCCAACATGGGGAAACCCCGTCTCTATTAAAAATACAAAAATTAGCTGGGCATGGTGGTAGGTGACTGTAATCCCAGCTACTCAGGAGGCTGAGGCAGGAGAATCGCTTGAACCCAGGTGGCAGAGGTTGCAGTGAGCCGAGGGAATGGTGAGCAGCTGTTCTTTCTTCTCTGGTGATGACAGGGCAAAAGTGAATTGTGCTTAATGGCCAGAGAAGAGATTTAAGTTAGGGACAGAGAGGGACTTCCGGAAGCTGGGGGCCTCTCCGAAGAGCTCAGTGTCTTCCCTGGTGATGGGCAGGAACTGCTGAGTGTCTTCCTAGTCACAAGGCAGGCCCCGAGAAACTCAAGAAATAGGGGCAAGAGTGCTCCTCGAGGAGAGAAGCCCTGCTGCCCCCTCTTCTTTTGTATATCTGGCTGTTTGGTTGGGGGAAATCCACAAGCCAAAGAGTTACCCGCAGAGGGTCTTGACTGCAAAGTGGCCAGGTTCTTGGTGTTTCGACCAAAAAATTGGACAAAATGCACAGCAAAGCAAAGAAAGAATGAAGCAACGAAAGGACGAAAGCAGTGATTTAACGAAAATGAAAGTACACTCCACAGGGTGGGAGCGGGCCTGAGTGGCTCAAGGGCCAGGATATAGAATCTTCTCGGTCCAAATGCCCCCGACAGCTTTCCCACTGGCCACTTCATGCTCACCTCATGGAAGTGAAGTGGTGGCCACAATCGACCTGATATGAAGCAAGCACTCAACAAACATTTGTAGAATGGGATTGAATGAAGCCGGCTTGCGGATGGCCTCTTTTCCAGGTCGGGTAGCAAACAGCAAAACCACGTTGGTTGCAAAAAGCGACCAATCAGAGGCTAAGGTGAAGTTACAAAGGTGCAATGGAGACTCAGCCCGCAATCAGCCTGATTGGTTGCAGACAGCCAACTCCCGGTGTTGATCAGGTTTGGGGAAGAAAGGTTATCTGAATAAAATGAAGCCAGCGACCATGATGGATCTGTGAAAATTCTCTCCCATTTCCCTCCCAAGGCCTTAAACAGGTATGAGTTGATTACAGCCAACGTTTACTTTCTTCATTCTGATTCATTATCAAATTGGGGTAAATACATTCAGGAATTAGACCACATAGCCATCATAATTGTTGAAGACTTTGAAACTGCACAGTAGATTGTGACATTGGAGGTTTTCATTGTGCTCAGTAGAAAGCAGGGTCCGCAACTCAGCCTGTGTGGCCAGCACGGGTGCAAGCAGCAACTAGGAAATGTCATTTCTGCTCCTCAGAGCCCCCTTTCACATCGGGGGTTCTGTTTGCCTTTTTACTAATGTGTTTTGTAACGGCTGTGAAAATTCAGCCACAAAATGGGTGAGCATTGAAGAAAATGATTGCTATTGAAACTTGGGGTAGTGTGTGTTTATCCTTCCTATTCATTCAATAAATATCTATGGAGCAATGACCATGCGCCAAGCGAGGACTCATTAGGAAACAAAGCAGCCCCCATCCCTGCCCTTGAGCAGCCTCCATTCTGTTTCTACAGCGGAATGTGGCCTGCTGCTAAGCCGTTCCGCGGAGTTCTAGTTCCAGCTGCATCCTGGCCTATTTGTTTCTTGGATCTTTGAATGTTCTATCTGTGTGGAGAGGAGTTTGCATATCACACAGGGCCTTGTGGGCCACTGTAAGGACTTCGGCTTTTACTCTGAGTGACGGGAGCCACGGCAGAGGGCTGAGCGGAGGAGTGTCATTACTTACTTGTGTTTTGAAAGCAATGCCTGCTGATTTGAGAAGAGACTTCAGGAAGGGAGAGAGCAAGGGTAGAGGTGGAAAGACCAGTTCGGTGGCTGTTGGATTCATCCAGGTATGAGATGGTGGGGGCTGGGTCCGGGGCAGCGGTGGAGGACGGTGGAAACCTTGTGGCACCTTTGTGAAGGACTGTCCTGGGGATGAAGGAAGTCCTGCGTTCCCCTGAGCCCTGTTCCTGTATCAGATCGAGGCTTCCCTGCAGGCCTTAACACCCCCCCCCACCCCCCGCCACCTCACTGGAAGCAAGCAGCTGCAATCATTTTAGATAACTCTGAGTGGCTCTCCCACGTGCGACTGCCCCATGCGTGGTCTGCAGCAGGGGATGGCCGTCCTGTGTGCACACATAGGTGTGCTGGGAGAGTGAAGAGACCGGTCAGGGTTTCTGCCACATCACGCTTCCCAATGAGGTTCCAGCTGATGCCCCAAGGAAACAGGAAACAGGCCTGGCCGCATTTTTGGAGACTG